GTCCTGTTCGGAGCGGCAAGAACGTAATCGAAGACCGAGGATCGGCGGGAGGCCGCGCGAGATGACGAGAGAAGCGCGCCAAGACGCGTTCGATTCGACAGTTCGATGCGAACTGACCATCGCGTCCCATGCCATGCCAGCCACACCATGCCACGCTATACCATTCCAATCCGCCACCGTTCCATTCGGTCTTATTTCGTGACCTCTCTCTTTCTCTCTCTCTCTCTCTCTCTCTCTCTCTCTCTCTCTCTCTTTCTCCTCTCTCTTTTTTTCTCTCTCGCACTCTTGGAACACGACCCCTTCCTCCCATCGCTCCCATCACTCGGGCTTTCGTCGTGTCATTACACCACAAACTTCTATCACTATATCGCTACATTGCTCTAACTCCCTGAATTTTGTTTATGTAAAATGCCCACGAAAAGTATGCACTAAAGAATCGGACATAGTCAGTGTATGTCACTTCTTTATATTTGTTTATATACTTCGCCTATATATGTTTCCTACAATATTCTAACTTCTGTTCAATCAAGAGAAATTTATTAAATTATATATTTAAATAGTATGTATATATTTAGTCAAAACGCCATTTGAAAAAGGGAGGGTCAGATTCATCAAAGGGAGAGGAAAAGGCGGTTTTTCATTTTCGTTTGCACGCAAGAGAAGCGGTTCGTGGCGTGTTCTACAACGATGTACGATCGTTTGCGACATTTCACGAGTATATACGAAAAGTCTGGAGATTCTTCCGCGAACCTACTGCCCTCCCCCGACACTTTCTTCTCCGAATTATACCCGCATTCCATCAAAACGGTAGATTGCTCTAAACGCGACGCCTCCGTCATCGTCGGGCGTGTGCGTTTCCAGATCGGCGAGATGACCCATAACGCGTCGTTTAATCATCGTTAACGAACGTCACGAGAAGCCGCCGCCTTTTGTCCTCTTCGATATATTCATCCTGATCGCTTACTACGTAGTGATCATGTGTACGGCGGGAAAATTTTATAATAAAAAAATTACTTTAGGATTTCTTGTAACCGAAGAATAAATCGACATTCTGCAATAATTCGTTACCTTGTCATTTCATAAGTGTGTTGCTTATATCTTACGAAGTGACCGCCATTGGAAATCGCACGCGCGAAAACATTATCGTAGATCTCGTTATCGTGAATCTTCTGTTATCTGGGGATCGATTAAAAAACTTGGATGTAAGAGCAGGAAGATTCCTGTAGAAAGTTTCTACGTAGCTAGTTAATTCTAATTGCGCCCTCAGTTGTCTCAACCGAGTTTTCCTACAGCTAAATGTTCAGACGAATGTTCCCAGTCACAGTACAGAGAAAAAAAGAATATTCTTGTTTGGAGAATATCTTTATTGTTGACATTTTAAAAATAAGATTAATATTAAAATGAGATTATATGGCGTTGAACGAAAAAGCAAGAATATCAATATTGTTAATTATTATGAGAAAATGATTAATTGACTACACTCGTCTTGATTGAAGATCAATTTATCTTCGTTCAACGCCATATAATTTCACTTTAACGTTAATCTTATTTAAAAAATGACAACAATAAAGATATCCTGCAAATAAGAATATTCTCCTTTCTGCGTAACGGAGACACTATTTCAGTGAGTTTTTCGTCTGGTTCCCCATTCAATTGCCTCAATTGAAATTCCTTTCCGCGTACAAGAGTTCCCCGACTATAACGATCTCACAGTGCAATTATATTATAGTCACAGTAATCGAGCACTTTCTTCTCAGTTGGCGAGCGTGCACCGCGACGCAACTTTTGACGACCCGCTCGCCGCGTGACTTCGGTCTACGCTAAGTGGGTGACCTTCTGACCTAATCGCCGCTAATTTCATTCGCTCGACATACTCGTCGTACGAATCCGCGGCGGGTCTCGCCAGTTAGCTCGCTCGCGTTTTTACACGAGAGCATCGGAGAGAACTCGCATGCTTGCCTGCCGCTCTGTCTGTCTGTCGCGCTCCAAATACCTGTTCGGCTCTACCCACCTGCCGTGATTATGGCTCGTGGCGTCCCACGTAAATCTAGTCGCGGATCACGACGTGGGGGTAACCTCGCGCTACCGCCGTGAGAATCCATTTTTCCGCGCGTTGTCGCTCTTTCCGGTCGCCCTCGATCGGGATCCTCGTGTCGTCGAGTATTCGCGACGACAGATTCTTCCTTCCTTCCTTCCTCGCTTCCTATCGTAATCCACGGTAAATGTCTACGCGCGAGAATCGCTCGTGGCACGAAAACGCCCGGGAAATCACTCGACAATTCATAGCGTCCACGTTCCGCGCGCTTCAATCAAAATCCCGCGAGATGGACGACAACACCCCGATACACTCGTGACTCGTTGACGTTACTGACAAATGGAAAAACACGCGGAGTACGTTCTCCAGCGATCGCACCGGCCCGATCGATCGTTACAGCCCATCGACTTCGTGGGCAACAGGCAATGTGTGTGTACTCAGCCAGCAGCTCCCCGAAGGTGAAGCTAGCGATACCTCGAAGGTGACGTGATCGTGGAATCGCGTAATGTCCATTGAGTGGAACGAAGAATGAAAACGGAGGAGGAAACCCCCCGTGAAACACAAGAACGTACGGGAGAGAGCGAACAAACGCGGAACCGCATGCGTCGCGAACGACAGCCCGCGCGAGACTGCCGGCCGATGACGACGACGCATCGGCTTGGATGGGCAAGGTAGACGGATGGATGGGTGGATGGATAGATGGATTAATGGATAGACGGCTGGACGGGGAGACGAGAGGAGACGCCGTGACGGCGTCCAAGTTTGCGCTCGCGCGATTCCTAGCTTCTTTAAACATCGGACGCGTTCGTTCCACCAATTAGACGGCGCACGCAAGTTCCGTTCCAGTTCCGGAAGAGTCTGCTCCGGGTCGTCCGAGCGCGCGCTTGTCGAGCCTCGCCTGGAACGGAGGAGCTTCGCGGACGCGAGAGGACCTTGCGATGCGACATCAGTTGGTTCGTGGCTGATTTCCCATTTTTACTCTTCCGCTCGATCAAACGCGTCGCATTATTCAGCGTAACATGTGTTCGCTCATGTGTGATACGCGACAGACAAGATTAAAAGCGCCATCGCGACGATCGATTAATTTGTTTACCAGAAATCCCAGGCAAACTCGGCGACGTATTTTCGATAGAAGTATTATACGCAACGAATGTCAATGTCTCGAGCACCAACCTGCTAGGAATAAATTAGGCAGAATTAAGAAGAAATTTTATGTTGCAATAAGACGGAGTTTGAATAAAGTTTGTAACATTAAGATAAGATAATATTAGTTGTGTAAAAGCGATAGGGAGTGACAGTTGGAAAGGTGAGCGAATAAGGAGTTTGTTTGTAAACCAAGTGCCTTCCTGACTACGTAGCTGAAGTAATAGGTGCGTACATACAATGCAAAAGTGTCACAGCAATAAGAAATAAACAAGAATGATAAAGTTAAGTAAATAAAAAAAATAGACAAGAATAATAAATGTCACGCGAATGATAAATGGAAGAAATGAAAATAGCACGGTTGCATACAAATAAAAAAAAAATGGTTCAATTGGAGAGAAACGCGCATGCGTGTGTGGGAAGCATCGATGCGATATTCGCGATTGAGCCTTCCCAAAGCGCACGACATCGGACCACCACCGGCGGGCTGCATGACGTAATGCGCATTTCTGGACTAGACCGTGACATTGCATAACGAAATGCATTAACCGCGTATCGCGATACACAAGTAGCGCGAGCTGTCCGTCCATCCGTCCGTTCGGCTGACACATAGTGCCATATATTGTCGTCTCATCGTAATTACAAGCTTCTTACGAGCGCGACCATGTACGCTTTACGAGTCTATTAATACTCTAACGTGCTTTCTAACGCGCGATACGCCCGTACAGAAGCCAAGCGCACACACACGACGAAATAATCGATCTGCTCTTCCTGTCGGCAAGAGCAGATAATTCGTCTATGGTGTAGGCGGGTTTCATCAACGTCGCTCACCGTTAACCACGATCGACTTCGAGATCGCGAGACGGCCGATCTCTCCATCGACTTACGCGGTCGCGACACCCCTCGAATTCATCGATTCTTCCATCGAGAAACATCGCCGTTTCGATCCGAGAGAGAAAGACTCTGGGAAAGCACACTGCACTTGGTCAGATTCGCGGAAGAGATGCGTCCGACTGTATTTATATTTCGGCCAAAGCCGAGCATTTGCGCAGAAATTAGACAGCGCGACGTGACGTACGCGGAAGAGGACACGGTGGAGGAGGAGAGGAGAGCAGGAGAAGCAGGAGAAGGAGGAGAAGGAGGAGGAGAAGGAGAAGAAGGGAGACGTCGAGGGGGGCACAAACGGAGCGTTTCGAGGAGCGGAGTGTGCGTACTTGGTAACGCGGCACGTGTGCACCGTGTATGCGTGCCTCGTCGTAAACTGCTACGTAGTGCAAAGAGGACTGCGAGGGATAGACAAAGACGGAGACGCCAAGAGCACCGTCGTCGCGTCGTCGTCGGCAATGAGTGCGCCGCGAGGAGACCTTGACGGGCCCGAGGAGGACTCGCTGCCATTTTCGCGGGACACGGTAGTGGGTCGCAGGTGTGGACCGACCGACCGGCCGACCACCACACATCGGTGCCACGCAGGGTGGGGCACCACGTAAGTGGCGCGAAGGGGCGCGAGCGACGTTCTCCCGCGGGGTAGAAGAGAAAAAGTGCGAAGGTGCGGAGCGACGGAGTTCGATCGCGAGGCTCGACCTCGTAAAAATCACACATTTTTATCGCGTTCACCTCGGAGCGAAGTCTCCCTCGAGACGACGACTGAAAGTTCACTCGAAACGGCAGTGGAGACGGCGGAGTGAGTGTTGAAAATCAAATTCTGAGCGGAATTTTTATTCACACGAGCAAATTGGTGTTTGTAAGTTTGCTTTTATGCAAGAATTTATATTGAGATTGTATTTTATTTTGCAATGTTCTTTTTTTACGAAGCTAGTTTGACATTGTAATATTTATATAACTTGACGATCTACTGAATACACGATATAAAAAAAAAACATTAAAGGAAATGCAATAAATTTGTAGTAAAAAGTCAGACGTGCATAACATTTCGAAATATATGATAATATTTGTATGATAATTTCGGTCATAATTTCCGCGTATAGTCCCAAGTAACAAAATCTTATTATTATCTTTATTACATTTTTACTATATCCGTGTAGAAGTACATCAGAATCAGTTTTAAATTTCGAAGGAAAATATTTTTACTACAAGTAATCCAAGTGAAAGAATTTGCTCCATATGAGTGAAAAATCCCACTCGACTTTCGTACGATTCGACTGTCACTCTGCTTTTCGAGTAAAATCCCTCGAAGAGATTTAAAGAGCAGAAGGGGCGCGCGCGCGATCATGACATTCTCTCACGCTTTTCCAACGGTCACGGAGCTCGCGAGCAAAAATCGCGCGCTTGTTGCGAAAATCACATTATAATAATATTACATACGCTCAAAACAATGCTCAAAACAATCTTGCTGGTCGTAGAATTCTAAATGCATCAGTTAAAATGTATCGCTATTTTTCTGCTAGAAAATCGCCTCTGGTGCGTAGAATTTGCAGCAGTAGCGTTCTAGCAACGTTTCTGCAAGAGATTTATGTGGATGTGAGGATCGTACATTTGTTTGTCTCTAGTTTTTCTTTTTTTATCTACTGCATCAGTCAATTTGCATAAGAACTGTGACTCGTTTTAATCTGGATGGACGCCACGGAGAGACTCTTTCTCGCTACATTTCACGAATACAGATTTCAGATAGAAATTCTTCATACTCATCTATACCGATTAAATACGAAACATACGCGATATCGCAATGTTTGCCGGGAATTTATCCATCTCAGCAGATTTCTCGCATCTAGATTTTCGCTATGACTGCGCACCCGTTTTTTTTGAATGCACATCATACACAAACGCACACACACACACACACATACACACGCAACTGCATCGCGCATCTAGTTTTCTGCCAAACTAGAGCGCGCCGCGCTAAAGATAGGTACTCGTATGCAGGCAGAAATCGGTGTGCATCCACACTACCGGCGCAGGGAACAAGGGCGACCTTGGCCTTACGAGCTTATATAACGTGGAAACGGCCGATTCGCGAGCTCAGTCGTTTCGACCTATCGACGCGACGACGTGTGCAACCGATACCACCACCATCCGCGACCGAACGTCAGCGCGCGCGTGTCTCCGACGATTTTCACGCCGTCGCGCGCTATCCCGCCGCGAATATCGGACGACTCGACTTCCGGAAATCGTCCGCGGAAAATCGAACACGACCGCGTCTTTCCACGTGAGCGCGAAGTGCGCCGTTAGAGCGTTTCTTGCCGCGTGTCATCTGTGTGTTCGCGCCAACGCGCAGATTGCTCAACCGCGTTCTCCCCGCGTCTCCCCGCGCTCAAGCATTTTCGTCTTTTTCGCTGGAATACGAAAATCATCAGGCCGGAGCGTTGCGCGCGCATTGCGAGGCATTCGTCACGGGTACACGGAAAAAATCATTCCGTTAGAGTGCAACTGAACTTTCCGTTACATCGAATGAAAAGTTCGGTTGTGAGGGAACAGAAAGATTCTCTATAGGAGGTTTCTGCTGAAACCGATTGCTCTCAGTGATCCCAAGCGACTTTTAACGCGCGGCTGAACTTTCAGACGAATGTTTTCAGTCACAGTAGCGCAGACGATAGATTTGTTCGTGTTGCTTGCACTTTTGACACTTTTACACTTTTGGCACTTTTAACGCTTACCAAACATTTGTTGGATCTTTCTCTAGAAGAAAAGTTCTCATTGGATTTCGCTCATCGCGTCTAGTGTGCAGCGGGTATTAGATGCAAAATTGTCAAAAGTGCAAACCTCTTATTTCTCGTCAGTAAGACCCAAGTTCCACAACTTCCAATTAACTTAATTGGCTAGTTATTCCATTGGATCTGACCAATCGCATTTGATATTAAGAAGAGTTAGTCAGAATTAACCAATCACTATTGGGACTGAACCGGTTGAAATTAGTTGAAATTAAACGAATGTTGTGGAACTTGGCCTAAGTCTTTCGTTTGGTTCCCATTCAGTCGCCCGAATTGAAATCTTTTCACCGCGCACTGCCGCGGGTTCCCCGCGATAATTGTCGCCGCTCGGAAGTCACGTTCCACCACCACCACCACCACCACCGTCGGAAACTTCCACTGGAGCAATTACGAGGAGGTTGCTGAAAATGCAATCGACGACGCGAGGTCGAAGTCGCGCGATCGGAAAAATATAGGAGCCATTAAAGGAGCGGCCGCGCGCACGGCCACTTCGGCGGATCGCTGTCGCGGCGAGGGAGGGCAGGGGGAGACCTCGCGGAAAATCAACGTCTCTTCTTGGCAGAAACGGAGGCAGCTCGTGGGCGGCGGCGGCGGCGGCGGACTGAGCGCGGCACGAGTCGCGCCGGAGCTCTTCGGCTCTTTTTGACAGATGCGAGCGTCAGTGCCGCGCGACGTGTCGCAGCGCCCGTCGAGTGAACGCGCCGACGTTATTTACGACGACGTACGTGCGCCCACGGTGAGTGTTTTGAGACTCCGAGGCGACGCGAACGCGCAGAGGGACCGGAGAATTGCCTCTGACTTCAAATTTGTTTATCCTTAATAAACAGTAATTTGAGCAGCACCTCTTTGAAACGTTTTAGATCAAATTTTCACATTTAAATCAACGTGCATTTTGTGGAATCTATTTTTCCTTATGATTAAAAATCGGATTGGCGATATAAAATTGCGCGCGATTTAAAGTCATACAAAGTTGCGATGCGACATGTCGCATTGCGACTCCCAAGCTCGATCTACAGTACGCTCTCTTTGCGTTCTGTTTCTTGTCTTCTGTCTTTTTTTGGCTTAGAGCCTGATCTACAATATGCTCCTTGCTTCCTGCTTCTTTCTCTTTATCTCTTTCTGACTCAAACCTTAAGCTTTAAGCCAGAAAAAGACAGAAGACAAGAAACAGAATATAAAAAGCATATTGTAGATCAGGCTTTAAGCCAGAAAAAGACAAAAGACAAGAAACAGAACGCAAAGAGCATATTGTAGATTAAGCTTAAAGGCTGATCTACAATATGCTCTTTGCGTTCTGTTTCTTGTCTTCTGTTCTTGGCTTAAAACTTAAGGTGTGAGTCGCAAAGAGATAAAAAAAGAAACAAGAAGCAAATTACACATTGTTATCAGGCTTTAAACTAAAAAAAGACAGAATAAGAAACGAAATAAAGAGCACATTATAGATTAGACTTTAAAAAGGATCGCATCGTGATGCACATTTTCATAAATCGCACATCCCTGCGCTTTGCGAACCGTTAACACGTTGACTCGCTCGCGCCGATCTCTGCCGATCACACAGGCTTGACTTGACCGGCGCATTCAATTATTGCGGATACGATAGTAAATAAATGCGAGTCGAGAGATGCGTCGATCTTTCAGCTCCGTTTCGCCGGCTACCTATCGACCGTACGTGCAATTTTTCTGATGTAATTAATTACACCACACGTGCGTCATATGCTGTATGTGTAATTGCGCCCCGCGTAACTTAACGAGATATGCGGTAGTATCGTGACGTTACGGCATTCAACGTGCTAACGAGCCGCTAACGTAACGAAGAGCAGCGCGCACGAACGCGTTTCAACATTATTTTTCTCGAGGACTCTCCACCCCGGCGAAAAAGGCGCTCTCTCTCCGTGTTTATACTTAATATAAAGTAACACTACTCTCACTATTAGGAAAAAGTGTAGTGAAAGCGTTATTAGACGTAAGGGAAGATGCCTTCTTCGCCAGAATTTTTTTCATCCTCGCAGGGAGAAGATATTGTAGTAAAAATTGCAACAAAATTTTCACAATCTCCGTACAGAATTTCAGAATTTAAGTCCAGCTTTACGAAAAAAAAAACACTGTGTAAACAGAAATATAATGTTAATGTGATTTCTACTGCGGTATTTTCTCCGTGTCGAGCATAAAACTTAAATTCCTTGATTTATGTGTTAACCCAGATATAATCGTGTCTCTTTACATATACAATCTCGCGATATCGATATATCCCATTAAATCAGAATGTTTCTGCAGGCGACCCACCACTACTCGCGATCACGAGGAAGGATGGTCAATTCGATATTGCTGCTTTGGGCGTTGGTCGGCCTAATTGGCCGAGTGCACGGCAAATGCAGCTTAGCACCGATCGTCGACAACGAGCGGTCGATCGCCTACGCGTGCATCCACGGCGACCTGAGCGACCTCAACGAGCTCTCCAGCGAGACCGAGTGGATCGAGTTCTCGGTGTCGCGTTTCGACAAGATCCCGGACGACGCGTTCCAACGATTCCGAAATCTGCGCCGCTTGTCCTTCTACAATTGCCACGTGAACGCGATCGAACCTGACGCGTTTCGAAACTTGCACCGGTTGGACTGGCTGATATTCCACGGCACGCGGATCCACGTGGCCAGGACCGCGTGGTTCCGACATCTGCCGAATCTCAGAAAATTGATTCTAGACAGGTATGTATTATCGTCCCTCACGATTTAAACAAAGCTATCCAACAAAGCTATCCAAATAGACAGAATCGCAGCATTTGTTTGAGAAATTTGCCTTGTCTCGTATTTTACCATCCTGCTTCATATTCCCACCTTCTCTCTTCTCCCTAAACTTAGCAGCAAGTTTATTAGTTGATTTGTGAGGGATGAATTTCCATGATTATCACAACATGAAACAATCGATGATTGGAAACTCGACAATTCTTTCAATTACATTTATGAAATGAATATACATACTTTGTACTGCATTAATTATTAAACTGTGCAATCATGTAAATTCTCTCGTTGTATTGATGCGGTAATAAATTTACTAAGAATTACACACACTCAGATTTCCATATTATGTTTAATAAGAAATATTGTTTGGGGTCTAATTTTGGTTATTTTTTTTCTATTGCTATTTCATTATTCCATGGAATAAATATGAGTGAAATCTGATCAGTCATGAGCAACTCAGCGTTGCTCGTAATTTAACATAATTAAGGTAATTTCGTAATTTAATATAATTAAGGTTGCTACACAACATATATCAGCTTTATTCTTGCAATTTCAAGTGGTGGTATTCTCGCTTTCTGCTTCGTGTGAATTTTCACAGGTGAAATCTTACTCTCGAGTGCGATTTCGCCCAAAGAAATTTAGAGAGTTGCGTCAAGGCTCATAAATTGATCTCTTATACCGATATCCTTACGTGTTCTTCGGCGACTCTATCAATTTGGATCTTGACATTCTCTGTGATTCTACAATACGAAAATACGCACGACACATTCCAGATAGATTTTCATAATTATCACGACGTGAGACAGTCGATGATGGAAACTTGACAATTCTTTCAATTATATTTATGAAATAAATATACTATATTGAATTAATTATTGAATTTACATCATGCAATAACGTAAAACTTTTGTTGTATTGATGTGGCAGCAAATTTACTAAAAGTTACACTCAGTTTTCCATATTATGTCCAATATAACACATTGTTTGGGACAAATTTTGATCATTTCTTTTCGTATTTCTACTTCATTATTCTATATGATAGGTATGAGTGCAACCTGATCAGTCATAAGGTATTCAACCTTACTAAACGATTTAATATATTTAGGACTGATTTCTCCAACCTTTTGATGAGTCAACTAACAGTTAAATCATACGTCTGTCTCTGTTTTTCCTTCAAATGAGACGAAGACAGACGCACAATTTAACTATTGGCTTACCAAGAAGTCGGAAAAATCGGCTCATAAAGTCACTGAAAGGTCCACACACATCAATCTATCAAGGACGAGACACACTCATTTGTTCCAGATGCGGCCTGGTGCACGTCGAGCCCGACGTTTTTCGCATGCTACCGCGAGTCGAGACTCTAGGCTTGCGCGATAATGACCTCGATTGTCTGCCGGTGGAGGAACTGTCGCATATGAGGATGCTCAGGGCCGTGCGTATAGACGGCAACCCGTGGTGGTGCGAGTGTCGTATGAGACTGGATCGCTTCTTCCGCGAGAGATCGATCGTTCAGGAGGAACGGTGCAAGCTCCCGCCGGGGGTCCATCGGAGTCTGCAGTGTATGACGCAGATCGATATCCCGATCTTAATTCCGATAGTGACCGTCGAGCAGACCGGAGGTTACGAAGTGAGTTATCAAATTTTATCGATTTAACGTCTTCTACGTCGCGCGTCACGACGCACGCGATATCTCAGAAAACAACTTGCGGATCTGTCGAGCACTCGACTGTCCCGATGATAAGGCAGTATGTCGCGAATCGTGCTGTCTTATTTTCCTCCGCGATATCGCGATGTCTTAGCACCGCGAACCGTGGTCATCGCGTGGAATGAGACGGAGATACTTCTGATTGCATACGTGATAATCGCACAATGTATCGCGGTCTTTATTGCCGCGATTGTCTTATCGTTTATCTAAAGAACCTCTTTTTTCAAAGAGACCCGTTTCTACCAACGTCAATTGAACTCGCACAGATACTGTCGGGTATATTATGGTATGTGGAGGTTTAAAAGAAAACGAAAATAAGTTAATGTGTTCAAATAATATCCGAAAGATACGGGCACCCGCGGGTTTTCGGGTAAAACCCTTGAGAGTACCCAATCTGAAATAATATCTGAAAGACCCGAGAAACTGACAGCACTGCTAGACATTTTCCTCTGATCCTCGATTTTCCATATTAAGGACCATTTTTCGCGTGCCACGAAAGAAAATCGAAATTTAACGCAAAGATCTGACTAATTGTCGATTAAAGACACAGTTGCGCATCTAATCATCGCGCAATACCGTTATATCGTTATACTTCAACTTCTAATATACATTACGAACTTCGTACGCGCGTGTTAATACAAATATCAAAATGCGAAAGCTATGATGAATACTTTGTCAACAACGAAGAATGAGAAACGTCACAATATCATATTTATACTGAGAAAAAATATCGAGAAATTAGTAAATATTTGGTGGAGGTACTAACATATTTACTTAAATCTAAATTCTTTTATTTGAACAAAATAAATTACTTTTTCATGAAAAAGAGTAAGGTTTAAAGTTTTAGGAAAATGTATATCATCTTTTTTAATCATTTTATATTAATACAAGTAAATATGCTCTATTAATGTACTCATGAAATATTTACTAATTTCTAAGTATTTTTCTTCAGTGTATATCGTTCCTTAGTATATATCAACTTGAATCCACATCAAGATTATATTTTATCCAACCACCGTGTGTGTGTGTGTGTGTGATGCAAAAATTAACCGTACACGCCGCGTCGATTTTTATTTCTTTCGCATTCCAATCAGCCATTTTTTTCGACCGGTTCACGCACAAGATTATGCGCTATTCCCGTAAACTTTGTCTCGCAGTCGCGTAAAGAAATTTATGTCGCGCGATGCGCAGTAAACGAGAGAGGAAGAGAGAGAGAGAGAGAGAGAGAGAGAGAGAGAGAGAGAGAGAGAGAGAGGGATGTCAGATTAACACAATTCAATCGACTCACCCTATCAGACGACACCATTGCGTTGTCGCCATCTCCACGGTGAATTCTCGGATATCCTCGTCGGGCGTCATTGTCCTTCCTCGGCGGCTTCTCCCGTGTTTGAAAGGTCACACGCGAGCTCCTCTTACGGTCGTCGACGATTTCGCGCGACATATATAAACCGACGCCGACGACCAATTGGCACACGTTTATTGTCACTCGCGAACACACACGCTGTCGCCGCGATCACTTCCACGATAAAGATCTCGCGTACGCCATACGCGACGATCGTTCGCCAGGCGATTGTCACCGTGACGACGCGGCTTCCTCGATTCGTTTTCTCGTCAGCCACTTGAAAATCGAGCCGACTAGCCACCACTTCTCGTCGTGCGCCCCGCGAGAGAATCCCGCGCCCGTGATAGGCGCACGCAGTAACGTGCACGATGCGGAAACGGCCACAGGACGCGGCGGATCGGTCAGTATTACGGCAGGCAACACGCGTCGGCTCCTTTTAATCGTCCACGTAACGACATCGCGATCGCGCGCACCACGAACCGTTGATCACTATCCGAATACGAGCTTGCGTGCGCCGCGAGTCACGTGACCCGCCGAACTATCAGCCCGATTGGCTCTCTCACCGTCGCGCACTGACGGAATCGCGCGCGATATGCAATCGAACCGATACGCGGCGGCCGAGCGAGCGCCACAGATGTCGCAACCGTGAACCGTTAACCGTCACGCGTCTGTCATGTTTGAAAACATCGCGCGCCCTGAAGTTGCTGCACGATCTCTCCGCTGTCCTGTGATTATACCCGCTCGGCGGCTGCACCGCCCAGCGTACAGTCAATCAGGCGGACGAGAGACGTAAACAAAAGCACGGAGCCTGTGTCAGATTAGCGCTCGGTTTTTTCAATCTCTCGGTAAGACAACAGTTAAATCATTTTCCAGATAACACAGAGAATTGAAAAAGAATTCATCCACATAGCACGTAATATATATCTAACGCAGCAGAGGTGTCCAAAATTTATCAGGGATACTCTAAAGAGGTGTCCAATATATATAGAGATATCCTAAAGATATATTTAGGATATATTTGTGATATCTTCAAGATATCCCTATGATGTATTTGGGTCATTCCTGCTGTGTGGGATAATATTTCCGTAATATTTCTGCGATATTGCAATATTACGGAAATATTACTGCGATATTATGTAATATTACGTAATATTATGTGGACAGTCGTATGTCACCAATTCTGAGTTTATTTTTAAGTGCAAAAAGAATTCTTCAAAGTTCAATTTAGTGAAAAGAATTCTTTTTGCATCAAAAAATGAAATGAAGAATTGGGACATACGACTAAATTCTTTTCGAATTCTCTGTGCTACTTGGGATGTCTTTGTTTTCCCTTTCAATTACACAAAGACAGGCATATAACTGCTAGTTCACCAAGAGGTTGAATCAGCCCTAGGGCTTTTTCTATTCCTTTTAAGATCACTTTTATTGAGCTTCGGTTGAATTGACCGAAAGTCGAATATTACTCAAATATATCACCTTATTTTCGCTTTCTTTTAAATTCCCATATATCTTAACAGCAAGTTTAATTGACGTTGATAGAAACGGACACTAGAGGTCGATTATAAATCCTTCCCTCTTGAGTGTAGTTTCGTAAAAAGTGAGTTTCCTGATTTGAAATTTGAAATTTTAGGCATTCGAAAATGTTTACTTTTCACACTCTAGAAAAAGATCTATTTATCACTGTCCGTAAATATGCAATTGATTATAAACGCTAACCTACAATTTCACGCATCAACTAATCGCATCTTGGCTCGCTTTATTCTGATTAGACAAGTTCCAATCTTGACAATAGCTATTCCGATGAGTTAACAAAACTGTCGCGTAAACGGAAGAGAAAGCAGAGAAAACAATGACAAGTTCGCAAAAAGATTCATTATCGCTATCGTAAATATAAAAAAATTGATTATATGAATGCTAACCTACAATCCTCCACTAATCTCAATTTGCTCGCTTTATTCTAGCCAAGTTCCAGATTTTCAATCTCGACAATAACTGATCCGACGAGTTGATCCAAGGAAACTGTCGTGTAATGAAAGAGAAAGGAGAGGAAACAATGACGAGTTCGCAAAGATTCATTATCGCTACCCATAAATATAAAAAAATTGATTATATGAATGCTGACCTACAATCCTTCACTAATCTCGATCTTGGCTCGCTTTATTCTAGCCAAGTTCCAGATCTTTAATCTCGACAATAATTGATCTGACGAGTTAACGAAACTATCGCGTAAACGGAAGAGAAAGGAGAGAAAACAATGAGACGAACCGTCGGCGTGATCCCACGCGAAAAGGCGAACTTGCGACGCTAACGCGTTGCTTGCGATGCGCGCTGGCATCTCCCGAATCTCTTTCCTGGAATCTCTGTTTCAGGAGCCGCGCCACAGCAACCACTTCCAGACGAGCGCGCTGACGTCGCTGGACCGTTTGCCGGACAAGAGTACGTGGATCGAGATCTCGGGACTGCGGATTGATCGTCTGCCCGCGTACGCGTTCTTCCGCTTCGGCAACAGCCTGCGCATCCTCGAGCTGCGCGATTGCTCGATCGACGCTATCGAGCCCGATGCGTTCGCCGGTTTGCATCAGCTGCAGCGCCTCGTGCTCATTGGCAACCGTCTGCCCGCGGTGGCCGCCCATTGGTTCGGCGATCTCGTGGCGCTGCAACAGTTGGTGCTCGCGCGCAACTCCATCGAGCGCGTCGAGCCGGGCGCGCTGCGCCCGTTGGCCGACAGCCTGCGCCATCTGGACATGCGATACAACCGACTGCAGTGCCTGTCGCCCGAGGAGCTGACGCATCTGAGACGACTCGAGCGACTCGACGCTGTCGGTAATCCGTGGAACTGCGAGTGCCGTAGGAATCTGCAGAAAGTGCTGGTGGAACACAACGTGGGCTTCGAGATTAGCGGTGGTCGCTGTTACGAGAACGGGAACGAGGTCGGCGAGTCGACCGGCGGCGACGATCGAGGGCAGCATTGGCACGTAAGTGGCAATTTGATAAGTGTGGTTTAACCGCCAAACGAGACGTGAAGACGCGATCGAACCTGTTCGGACGTGACCTGTGATGTTTTGGGGATACACTTTGAATTATCTCCTAAAGCTGTAAAATTTCTCTTCCCAAAATTACTATCAGACGTCTCTAAGATGTATTTTGCACATTTGTACTGTATGAAATGTCTTGAATAAATATTAGTAATATATATATTATTTTATATATACTCAATATTGTCAACATATTAGATCACATTTTCGTAGCTGTTATGAAAATGATAATGGGTGCTTTCCATTTAATAACACAAGTTGACACAAGCATCATCCTATCTTAGTTACTCATTGAATATGGAACAAAGACAGAATGATACTTATGTCGACTTGTGTTATTAAATGCAAAGCACTCATTACAACATACTTATAACATCCATGAACTATAAAGTTATATATTTAATATGTATATATTATTACTTGTATTTTTGAGAAAGAGTAAAATTGCAATATAATCACAACACTGCAGCAACTTTCACGTTATATAACATGTAATACTGAAATTTATAACTATTATGTAATGAATTTATAACTATGTCTCGACTAGACCTCTGCTCGACTTATAAAATTATTGTTTAAATTCACCTCAGATCGATCACATGACAACGACGGGTGTTGGCCAAGTGCGTTGGACCTCCTTCGAGGAAACGCTACTCGAAAGGAACATCACCGTGACAAAGCCGACCACTGTCGCTCCAACCACTCAGGTCCACACGGAGAGACCACGTCCGCCGAGTTACAGGGGTGTTTGCATGCCCGACAAAACCGAGCAGTCACGACAAGCGTACACCTGCAGCGGCATCACCTCGCTCAAGGAGCTAGAGACCATACCGCGTTCCGCCCATACCATTCGCATCATACTCTCAAACTTGAAGACGATCCCGACACAAGCGTTCGCCCGCTTCGACGGCTACCTATCCCGACTAGAACTGCGCGACTGTGGCATCGAGAAGATCGAGTATCGCGCCTTCGCCGACCTTTATAACCTGGAGTATTTGTCGCTACACAGCAACCAGCTAGAGTCCATTACGTCCGAAGCTCTGGAAGGCCTAACGAGTCTGCAACAGTTGGATGTGTCGCGCAACCACATCTACCGCTTCACGAACGACGCGTTCGACGTGTTACCACGTCTACGCAGCTTGGACGTCTCCGACAACTACATGAACTGCATCGGCGTGGAGCACATGGCGCGCAAAATGCCGCATCTGCTCTCTCTACGGGTCTCCGGCAACCCCTGGAGTTGCCTATGCGGCACTAAGCTGGCCAGCTTCTTGGACGCTCGTAGAATTCGCTACGACCGCGAGTCTTTGCTCAACATGAGCGACTGCTACGTCACAGGCGTTCCCGTGACACCCACGACGGTGACCACCTCGAAGAGCACTACGACCGAGCCACCCTCGGTACCGTTACACGAAGAACCTATCACAGGTACCTGCACCGTCCACCAGGACCCCACGGGACTTCGGTATCGTTGTACTGGCGGCAATCTGTCGCTGCTAAAGAGTATACCTCGCGATGTCGTCGCCATCGAGTTTCACGAAGGCAATTTACCGCGCCTCCCGTCTGGGTCTCTCTACAATTTCCCGAAGCTGCAGGAACTCGTCATTAGAAACTGCGGTCTGAGGACGATCGAAGCTGGCGCTTTCAGGGGTGTAGATTCCTTGGAGCGACTCGCCATTCAGCACAATCCGATGACATCGATTGAGCAAGGCTGGTTCAACATAGAGCGTCTGGAGCGTCTGGATCTGCGTGGTAACTCAATCCGATACATCGCACCGGGTACCTTCCGTCAGCTGCCCAAGCTGGTGTACCTGAATCTCGAAGGCAACGATCTCCAGTGCATCTTCACGAGCGACTTGAGCGACATGCCGGATCTACACGTCGTCGAGTTCGCCGGGAACCCGCTCAAGTGGCGCTGCCGGATGGATCTGGAGCAGTTCCTCGAGATGCGTAAGATCAAGTTCGTCAAGGTGGAGAACTCGTGCGAGGGCAAGAAGATCATGAGGAATTTACTGTACCAGAATCGCACCAGCGAGCCGTTGGAATGTCCACCCGGCTGTTCCACGGCCACTCAAGTCGAACAGGCGAAATGTTTGACGTTTTTCATAGCGTTTGCGATGCTTGTCGCAATGCGGATGCATTAATTGTCTCCTGCTTTAACGACGCCAGTCGAATTAATCGCGCGATGCGAATATCGTACTAATGCGATCGAAGTATGGGCGCGGGGTTAAGATAGTAAACAACGGAATCTCAGGAGAAGAACTGTGTCTTTGCAGAAAAAAGAGAGAAACACGCGGATAGATTCGGTATTGTCAATGTTGTCATTCAATGTGTTCATATGTCAAAACGCTTAAACTAATGAATATATATATATATATATATATATATATATATATTCGCGAATGCCTATATATTTAAATTTAGTCATTTTAGAATAGTTTTAATACCGTGTATCGGATAACATATCAATAAGAATATGACGCTATAGTTGATCTTATTAGATTGCTTAGATTATCAGTAACATACTGTTCGTCTGACAACAAGCTTTATTTGCGGGCGTTGCCGCGATGATTGTTCAATGCGTCGTGAGATTATAATTTAAAAGACTGGAGAACAGGACTAGAGAGCGTGTAAAGTTTGCACTGTAAAGTGTACATCGACGACGATAACAGAATTGAGTGCCATATGGATCTGAGTCAGTGCGACGCTAAAGCAATTCTTGTTTGTGTTCATTTTAATATATATTTACATATAGGGAAAGAAAACAATTGTGTACATAATAAATATATATTTATTGTCAAAATTGTAATAAGCTATTTGCTATTAAAGTAACAAATCTTAATAAAAATTTATTTTGTGCAGCAAGTACATATTTATTTTCCCTATAAAGTGAATTATTTTTCGTCATCTGCAATTACACGCGATAATATTCAGTTAAATATGATTATATCAGATACAATGTAAATATTGATTATAGAGCTGTCAAAGAATTCCTTACGTAGCTGTTAAAACAAACTAACAGCAAGTAGCCCGGCTAGCTCAGTCGGTAGAGCATGAGACTCTTAATCTCAGGGTCGTGGGTTCGAGCCCCACGTTGGGCGGATTTTTTTGTTCTTTTTTTAAGAAAAGCTAGTCAATATGTTATATTTACAGAAGAAAAACACATTAGTTATATATAAAATTTAATTTTTTAATTAATTTATTTTTTAATTTTGATGTTTTATACTTCGTTGTCACACTGTAAAAATTGCGAGAGAAGAGATTGTCTTGAGAAGATAAAAAGATGCAGTCAAACCTATACTCTGTCTTAAATTTTATAGGGAAGTACTAAATGAAAAATATTTGTACAATTATTAAGAAAAAAATCATAGGAGAGCAAAAATAAACAATTTAGCAGAACGTGGTTTCGATCCACGGACCTCTGGGTTATGGGCCCAGCACGCTTCCACTGCGCCACTCTGCTACACGGGTGAATTTTCTTTTAAACTAGTAGTAAAGTAACCACAATTTATTATTGTATAAATTACTTAACAATAAAATGTATTTCTCTTTACTGACAACCGCATATCCAGAATAATTTAATATTAACACAAGAATCATAAAATGCGCGTGAAATGACGTCCTGGCAAAAACGTTATTGTGAAAAATAAATTTAGACTAGGAACAAACCTACACAGCAGATATTTCAAGCAGCTTTCAGAAAGATTTCAGGGAGATCTCAGAAAGGTTCAATGTTTCTGAAACTTTTCTGAAAGATTTTTGAAATTTCTGTGCTATGTGGGGAAGGTCAAAAAAACTTAATTCGTCATTCGAAAAGCTTGAAAGATCCCACGCATTCTATTTCGTTCTCTTTAATTCTTTGTAATATCTTCAGAATCTCTTTCTGTTCGCTGTTATTAAGTCTTAATATCCCACAAAATCATGAGAGATATATATTATAAAGTTTGAGAAATTATAAAAATACAACCAAAAAAAGAAAAAAAGAATGAAATCCATCAAATCACGTTTTTAATGACGAGTTAAATTCGTCAATTTCATAATCAGTCTTGAAACCGCTAATATTCCAATTTCCTCTCTATATCCCACTTATATATAGGAAAGAGGCATAGTTACCCTATTAATAGCATAAACAATCGTATTTCAAGAGCGAATGTCGCTTGGCGAAGTCTCAGGTGACATGAAATCCTGCCAACATAAGTCACCAACCCGCTTTTCATGACTCATAAACCGGCGAAGAGGCCAGCACTTTAACGTGATCCGACAGGCACGAACTTGCACGGTCTAGTAGAACGAACGGAGAATGCCCGTTCCGGATGCCAGCGTGTGTCACGTATCGCTCACGCGACGGACAATCGATAAAAAGATGCCAACGCAATCGCGATGGCCGCACGCGCAAACGTGATACACACATGATACGTCGCGTATATCACAGACGTTGACTCGCAACGTGGATACGATACCGTGCCAAGGCAACAGCACGACGAACGGCTGTGGAAAATCGCAAGATTGTGAGAAATGAGAATCACTTGGTGATGGGGTCGCGCGTGAAACCTCCGACTACTATCTGTGCTCAGAGCGAGATATCGGGGCGAGTCTCAAATAATCAGGGGAACTGTTTGAATTTGACGCGCCTCACGTAGATTGACGAATTTGATTGGCCAATCGAACTAAACATATCGAAAATGTCCGTTGTAACTTACAAACGAACAAACCGAGACGGCACGATCGTCTGCTGCTTTTTTTCCCTTGTCGCTGCAAGAGAGCTTGCTGGCGCAACGTCGAGCGCTGATAAAACAAGAAGCGGTCGAGACTGTGACAGCTGATAACTGAAATTTATCACGATATGCCGGAATCTACAGTTTGAAGTACGTGTAAAAAGTACATTTGGGAAATAAATATAAAGCGCTATACTCTAGCTTCACCCCTGTAACCTTTCCCTTATAATTTAGGCAATAAAACATAGATGGCGTTATTGGTATCGTTTGCATCGCTCGCCATAAGAAGTGGAATAAACTCAGCCACGGAGTGAGCATCGGTTTGCCGCTTTTAATGATCTCCAACTCGCTCAGAATACTCTGTGCCCTAAAAGTACTCGAAATCTCAACAAGTGTTTTTCATTCGCTCTCGACTACGACCCCGACTCGATCGCGCAACATGGGCATAACTGTTCGCCGCGCGCACAGATGAAGGCGGCCATCTTTCTCTGTGAGGATGATGCAATCGATGACACATTTCGACCGTATCGTCAGCCACGGCGCAGCGGAGGACCGTTCGATTTTTCAAACGGTACGGATATCCACGGGGACAGAAATCGTTCGCGCTGACGTCCGCGATCGTCGGAAAGACCGAAGTCCGTCCGTTGATCGGCGCGCACTCCCTCACGAGAGTAACGCGTACATTTTCGCGGACTTTAATCCGTCCGTAGGTCGGGCGAAAGTCGCCAGCTGGTGAGAGCTATTTTGAACGGCGCGATGCGACGTTGCCACGTTTATTAACCGCGAAAGAGAGAGAGAGAGAGAGAGAGAGAGAGAGAGAGAAGGAGAGAGAGGAAAAGAAAGAGGGAGAAAGAGAGAATGACAGACGAGCCTGGTAGGTCTCACCAACGTCGTCGTCGTCGTCGACGCTACACGATCGAACAAGTTCAAACACGTGCCTCGCTCGTTTGCCCGCTCGGCATAGAGATAACTGGACGAAACGACGGAACGTATGCTCTCTTCACTCGGCTCTGTTCGCTTGTTCACTCTCTCACCGCAATGGTTTTTTATACGCGCTGCCCGTTGCCACGGTCCCAACGAGGTCGCTGTTCCGAATTGAAATTCCGCTCCGTTATATCCTTGGCCGTCGTGGTCGCGAACGAACCATTGCGCGAGGATCACTCGATAGATCGCTCGATATACATGCGCGAAATGAGAATACATAAATTTAGATATCTGACGGAGCGTTCCAATGATCAAAGGAACGAACACGCGCGTCAGACACGCTGGAGGACATGAACGCCGATCGGACACATAAGAGCCGATCGTGTCAGCGGTGAGTCGTAAGCTCGCCGCTGGACGCTTTGGACCATTTTGCAGCGCGTCCTTCCCGGCTGAGTTGGACAAGAAATCAGGTTGCCGTTTACGACAACGGCGAGAGAGCGCAGGCAAGCAAGCAGGCAGGCTAGCTAGTGAGCGGGAGGAAGTGCGGCAACGCCGCGACTGCGTGAGCGGAGATGCGCGGCATGAATAGCGCCGACGTTTGTCGGGCCACCGCGTTGTCGGGGCATGGCGGGAAAGAGAGGATCGCGCGGGTTCTTGCAGTGTGACGCGGCGGGAGTGTGTGCGCGCGCGCGCGCGCGCGTGCACGCGTATGAGCGCGCGGGGAGAGAGGCGCGTAAAAGTTTCCGCTGCGGTGGGGATCGGCCCTGACGCGCGGCATCACAGGAGGGGACGCGCGCTGCCGGCTGGCGTGTAATACAACCAAGGTAATGTTACCGTGGTAAGCTGCCGCCCGCGGGGACGTTTTGGAAATTTCGCGGTGCCTACCGTCCACTAGTCAGCGACGCTCCAGACACGCTAGATGCTCGTTTAGTAGATTCTTCATTTCCCGTCTCGTCCTTGCGTATCTGACTCGGCCGACGGTATAAGTCCTACCCGGCGGCTGCCGTCTTCCGCGTCTGTCGTATCGTACAAACGAAGCGAGTACGCGCGAGTATGTCGGCGAGTATGATGAGAAAAATACAGAAAACGAGTGCAGGAAGTGCAGCCGAAGGAAAGGACTTCGGTTCTTGATTTCGGTTTGTTTTTAGAGCGCGGCTCTCCCAAGGCAAACTGGAGTGTGGAAAATTTGGCGAGAGTTGGCGCGAGTCGAGTCGAATGTGAGAACCTCCAGCGTCTCAGATAATGATAAAAAGTGGACAGCGATAAATCGACTTTATCGATAGGAGACTGTCGTCCCGCCAGAGCGGCGCGCCTCCGAACGGCGATCTGAAATAATGATCAGAGAGCGGCGCGTAATCGGCAGATAAACCATTCTCGTGGGTAAATCGGTTTATCGAGGCGAACGATTTACCGCCTGTTCGGCAGCGGACTCGTCATCTCTCGTTCACGTCGACCGCGCTATTTTGCAAATTGCGTTATCTAATTAACAAACAGAGCACGTTCGGATATCAATCACGAATCTTTTCATATAAACTCGATCTTATTTATTAATCGTGTAACTTTATTCCCTAGTATGAAATTGTGAGTAATTTTGTAGTACTTGAAAACAATGTGTCGTTTTCTCCAATATAAAGTCGTAAAAAGTGAACATCTCCATAGATTTTCAAGATTAAATCTTTCATTTTTCATGAGTTTACTATGAGAAAAGTTTACTATGAGAAAAGATTCATAATTGACCCCTAAGGAAGACTTTTGTATTTAGAAGCGATACGGAAAGTATCGTTTCTCCTATCCCGAAAGGCGTTTTGTTCGCCACGTTAACGCCAGAGCGCGTACGCACTTTTTCACCGCGTTCAAAGTAAGCTCTCAGCCCGTAATACATATTCCTCCTGTGTATATACTTCGTTGGAAACGAAGTTTAACGATCGCGCTAACTTCACGCGGGTCCAGCTACGCGATACCACCTCTCTCTCTTTCTCTCGTCGCTGTCCCGGGTATAAAGCCCATTTCTAATTTGCTGCCTTTTTACCACACCAATTAGAAGATCGCCCGCCGCGCGAGGAAGCACGTGGCGGCTGAGTAATTGGACGCAATGAGAGAACAGGCTAAAAATATCGTCGCGGTAAGACATGGGCTTAAAAAGCGGCAAGGTTCGTGTTCACACGACTCATTCCGCCGTCTATCTCGACCAACTTCGGGCGGCAACTTTCAAGGCTTCGACGCGCGAGAGCGAGCGAACGTGTATGTGTGTGTATGTGTGTACACACGCATACACTCGTCGTGTTTATTCTACACCGCGCGCCATATATCCGTCCCATTCTCGACGTCAGACTTCGAATTGAAAATCGAAGTTCGAGCGATCGTTCATAACGCGGTCTCGCGCGCGCGCGCGCTTGTCGCGAGAGGCCAAGCGGTATATTCGAAAATACGCGTGACGAGTACGCGCGTGCATTCCAAAATCTTCCGCTCGGGCCGCGATTCTCGGAGAAGCGAGAAACGTCGGTGAACGTTGGCCGCGCGCATATCGGTGAAATCGTACAACGCGCGGCGGAGGACGAGGAAGAGGTAGAGGAGAAAGAGGAGGTGGCGGCGCGTCAGGAAAGAAGGGGACAAAGAGCAAAGCGAAAGAGAAAGAGAGAAGGGAAGAGAAAGAGAGCGAGACGACGCGAAATGACGCGACCCGACTCACCGCGCCGAAGGCGGGTCAGGGGGGGGGGGAAGAACGGGATTCCCCTCGCACGTTTCCATCACGCCCCGCTGCCAATCCCCACTCTCCGGGCCGTGCCGTCGCCGACCGCAACGTCACTGCCCCCTCTCCCGGCACAGCCGCGCGCGATAGCATGCGCGCGAGAGTGTGCGTGTGCACCCCTCGCCAGCTACAACACAGCGCGCGCGGACCTGCCCAGTAAAGCCAGTAAATGCGAGGCTTCCGTTTCGGCGTGTGTGCCAGTGATAGAGTGCGTAATAAGCACGGCGTGTACGGGCAAATCTACGTACTTGGACATCGCCGTTGTCGCCGTAGTCATCACTGGGCGGACAGCGCTCGCGTGTCAAGATGCCGCTCAGCATCGGAGTTAACCTGAGGGTGACCGGCCACTGCAATCAGGGTGGCCGCAAATACATGGAGGACATGTTCTGTGTGGCATTTCAACCCACACCGGACGACAAGGACCTGGAGTACGCGTTCTTCGGCATATTCGACGGCCACGGGGGCGGTGAAGCCGCGACGTTCGCCAAGGAACATCTCATGGACATAATCGTGAAGCAGAAGAACTTCTGGAGCGACCGCGACGAGGACGTACTTCGGGCGATCAGGGATGGATACGTGAATACGCACTACGCGATGTGGCGGGAGCTCGGTACGAACATGATTATACAACGTGTTTGTACGTTAGAGCGATGCAAATCCTGATCCTCCTTGGGAGGATTCACGCAATCGCCGACAATAGTACGCACCGGGAGTTACGGTCTCTCCGAAGAGCCGCCGCGCCAGCGACGGCTGCGACGGCGGTTCTTGCGAGAATTTCTATCGCCGTCCCGCGTATTTCCCCCACCATAGCGACTAGGCCTGATTAGGTTAGAGTTTAGGTTATGTAACCTTCGGAACTAACCTGAAAATTTTCAAACCTCAACGAACCCGCGCTCTCGCGATATCAGATCAGTCACGAATTTGAGTTGTCGCGATCGAGTTTCCTCGGTCGGCGACGTCGCGCGTGAGTAAAGTGTAACCAGGTGTATTCTGTCCGTGATCATTTCACAAGATCTCTGTGTCGTTTTGGAGTACTTCGTTCGCTTCTCTCGACCTTGGTCGCGGAGATCTTGCTCTTTATCTGCCAGCCATATCGCGACTGTTGTATATTCGTATCCCTGAGCTGAGCGTTACTTTCCAAACAGACAAATGGCCACGAACCGCGTCTGGACTACCATCCACAGCTGGCACGACTGCCAGCATTGCGTTCATTCGAAAAGGCAAGATTTACATCGGTCACGTGGGAGATTCCGCTATCATATTGGGTTACCAGGCAGAGGGTGAAAGCCAGTGGAGAGCGAAAGCTCTGACGAAGGATCACAAGCCCGAGAGCGGCCCGGAGATGACGCGCATTCAGGACGCGGGTGGAAAAGTGATTAGCAAGTCCGGCGTGCCTAGAGTGGTGTGGAATCGACCTCGTATAGGGCACAAAGGTCCAGTTCGCAGATCTACTCATATGGACGAGATCCCCTTCCTCGCTGTGGCCAGATCACTTGGTAAATATGTGTAGTGTCTCCTCTCCAGACACCTGACGTTTCTGTGCATGGCAGGAAGAATTCTACATGAAATCCCTCTTCCAGGCGACTTGTGGAGTTATAATTCCGAATTGAACACCTTTGTGGTATCACCTGAGCCAGATGTGAAGGTTATTCCAGTTGACGTCAAGTCACACCGCTGTCTTATATTTGGCACCGATGGTTTGTGGAACATGTTGTCCCCACAGGCTGCGGTGGCTATTGTTCAAGCCACAGACAGACACAATGAGAAGCACTTGATAGCCTCTCAGCAGACTGGGAACGGAGTAAGTTTTGATACATCGGGTGCGTTCAGCAAACTCTACAGTTGCACAACAGTTGAGCAATTCGTCAATGTAATTGGTCTAGATTTAGGGATCTAACAGTAAGAACCAATAATCGCTGATTGTTCACTGAGCGTTTTTTCTGCTGAACGCGCCCATTCTCTTTACCCAACCAAGGTCCATCTAACGTGATACAATAAATGTATTGTGATTGTTAGAATGTGCTACATTGGTGGGAATATACAAATATACACGTTGACAATGATATTACAAAAAGATAATAAATAAAAATTTCTTAACAGCAACCCGACATGCAAATGTGGATTAATCCGTCGAAAAGCCTTGTGGATCGTGCGCTGGAAAAATGGTCGTCGACTCGGTTGCGCGCGGACAACACTAGCGTTGTGACACTGATGCTCGACCCGTCGGGACCATGTCGCAGTGAGGTTAATATCTTTACATTTCATATAAGTATTCTAGAACAAGGTGAATATTTTAATAATATAACAATTTAACATTATAGGGAAAACCTATCACGGAAAAATCTATCACGCGCACATTCAAGAATGCTAAAGCTAAACTGTTGCTTTTCTGGGAATTATTAAGATTGATATTTAGGCACAGTATATTAGATATTCAAAAGTCTCATGAACATTAAATATGAACATATTAAACAAACCACGTCTGATATACAATATTTGAAAACTTGCTTTATCATTTTCTTTATTATTTACTTTATTTATATAAAACACATTCTATTGATATTAGATTAATATGACCAAAATTCATATTTTATAAAATCCAAAAGTTTATTGAAAATTTCGAGAACATTAGAAATCTGAGAAAGAAGATACTCAAAAAATTCTCAAAAAAAAGAGATTTCTTTACATCATCTTTTACTCCTTCTTTTACTCTCTTTTCCCCTGATAAAAAGAATTTAAAAAATATTGTATATATATGTATATAAAAAGTATTTCATTTATTATATTAAGTAGATTCGTTGCATAAGAATTTCGCCTCACAGTCTATCTTTAATCATTCTGGAGGAAAGCACAATAAACGCCTTGAATATTCTTTTTTTGTGCCGCTAGAAAGATATTTTTATTTTATTAAAGGTGCTGTTTAACACAAAGAAAGATCGTGTTATACATCACGGAACGTACGTGCCAACTGCGAATATGGTACCTGAGAATATCGAGGAAGAAGAGGCCAGTTCGAAGGTGTTGAATCCGTGTGAATCGATGCCACCGCCAATCATCGCAGCGACTCCCAAAATTGACGTCAAGCAACCAGACTCGTCTAACGGCAATGAGGACGTCGTCGATCAGGCGTTACCACCGGAAAGAGTTTTGTCCCCTGAAAAGTCACCTTCACCTCACATCGATATTTTCTCGGAAATACAAGAGACAGGAGTGGCGAGCGAAAATACGATAGACAATGTAACTGATGTTGCAGAAAGTATTCAAGTCGACGAGGTATCCTCCAGCGAGATGCTGGAAGAAACCGGAGAATCGGAAAACACAGTAGTGGACGAGGCTGTTGTCGCCAAATCAGCCGACCTCGAAGATGAAAAGCAACCAATAAGCGAACGGAATGAAACCGAAGCAAGTCACGATAACGTGCAGCTCTCGACCCAGTCAAATGCTCAAAAGTCGGAGCAATTCAATAAGCTCAAAGAACTTCTAGTAGAAACAGGAGCGTCTGACGTGACACCACAGAACTCATTTCCCAGCGCGAACGAAAACATCCAACCTACCACGCTCGTCGGAAGCAAACTGTGTCAAAGTGACGGCATTGTGTCTGTTGAAATCAATGGTTACGACGACGGCGAAACGAGAAACGACGTTGTTTTAAACGGACCGAGACACAAACTACAACAGCACCCGTTATTCCCAGTTACAACGCCCAATATCCGAAGCATCAAGCGACGACACAGTCTGAACTCGCAAAATCGCAACGCTTACGCGGACGTCGCGCCTTCGGACAAGACTTACGTGAGTATCAAGTCGCGATACAAGGTACCTTCCGCAAAGTCCTCAGTCGCCGGGGACGCTACAAACGAGAACATGCTGAAAAACACGTCGAACCGACAGACGAGCGGTGGCAACGCTGCCGCCACGGTGGGTAACAAACGCAGGCACAGCGCGATCGCGCAAGTGATCGATGGCGGCTGCGGTATGCAGCAACAGCAGCATGAACCGTGCGTGAAAAGGAGGACACGCTCGGAAGACCGGCCAAGTCTCACGGACGAGAACAACCCGGCCAATCAAGTAACGGAGGACGCCAACAGTCGGTTGAGCTGGCCCACGTCGGATTCGACGTTGTCGAAGAACAACAGAGCCACCGCGACGTTGTCCGGGCAGGACCGACTCTCCTCGTCCAGCAACTCCCTGCAGCAACTCCAACGAAGGAGTTTAGGAAAGAAGGCCACACTCGTGAAGACCATCAGAAGGCCGTCTATCAGCGGCTCGAATCGACTGCAACAGCTAAGAGGTAGTTTCGGCCTAAGGGACTGGGACCAAGGCAGAAGCAATCGAGGCAACTGTAACGATAGAAGACTAAATAGGACAGTAGCGCTCATGAGCTCTACGGACACGACGATGCCGCAAAGGTGGCTAAGGTTAGCATTCAACGGATGTCTGTTGAGTTTGTAAACTGGGTCAATTGGATATTGAGAATTATGGATTAGAGACTAGAACTTGAGGAATCGACTTTAATATTAATGTTGGATCTTGAGTTTCTTTATCCTGATCTAATCTTTGTTAAGCTCTAATCTTCAATTCATGATCGTCACTTTTTTTATGTCTAGAATAGAAACCGTTATTGCAAAGCATTCTGCCTACCTTCTGTCTGGTGTCATTAACCTCCGTGTGTAAAAAAATTTTTGAAAAACTATGTTTATGTGGTAGCCTATATATATTGCAACTATTACATGTTGCATATCATATAACATAGTTATTACTAAATCAGTTTTAGATTATCGTGTAAATGTATGTATGATCTATAAAGTGTGTTCAGTAGATCTATTGCGGGCTTCAGGTATATATAAGAACTTTTCTTCACTTTATTCTCTATTTAGATCAGACACAATGGCGGCGACACCTGTGAAAACATTACGTTCGCGTAACGTAGACATCGCTGGACACACCATATCCGCACAGATGGTCCATCAGTATGGTGTGGTGAAGCAGAACCGACTGTCCCTACCGAACAAGCTGAAGCAGTCTGCGAACGGCGGATCGTTGCAATCGAGTAGAGTCAGGTCTTCCTCGTTGTCGTCCAATAAACTTAAACAAGCGAATAGTAACGGTGGAAGCGTGAGTACTTGCGCGGCCATTAATAACGCCACCACAGGTTGTAGTTCCACCTCTGGTATAGCTAAGAGAGTCAAGTCGCCCTACAATCCTAGCGCTCGATCATTTAACACGCGATCTCGCATCATACGTCTCGGAAAGTAAGGACACAATTAGCGGCTCTAGATTTGCAATTAGCTCGAAGATTTTCAGGGTATGATACTCTTACCCTTATTATTATTAATTCTTTTTTAAACATCTGCGTATTATCTTACAGCGATGTAAATCAATTGTACACAGCACATGTATGCATATATACATGCATACATACACACACATACACACACTTTATATATGTTTGAAACTTTATCACTTTCATCTTCGGAACTCCATATTTCCTTTCACTGAATATAGTTACTAGGAATGGGTTTACATATAGTAAATTATTAGATTTTTATGTTTTTTTTTTCTTTTAGATATAGAATTAAATAAAGTAAAAACAAGTGTACGATTATTTTAGATATATGCCAAGAATTAGCATTTGTGCTTTAGTTGCGCGAATTCTTGTAAACTTTTGACGTTGCAATCGTTTCCTGAAAATACTGCATGCGTATTTATAATTTTGTTATCGAAATTCATTATATTAATCTTTTGTAATCATACTAGAGCGCGCGTACTCCGTTTTGTTTTATAAAATATAATTCTGTCGTGTAAAATAAATTGTTACGCTCTGCCATTCTCATTGTTAAACATGATTATCGATTTCATTGTGAGAAGCCGTAATATTGTCTAGAATGGCTTAAAGAATTGAACTGTGGCAACGACATCATCATATTCGCAACTTTCAAATAATTTCGCACTTCCCAAAAGAGCATCATTCGTTTTTTAATTTTAATTCTTATCAGATGAACATCAACGAGCGTATGGTTTCTAAGTGTTGGCACGCTCAAGTCAAACACATAGAAAACACGATATAATATTGCAAGTTATTGCCATTTCACTATTAAATATTTTTTACTCGCTATATTTTGTTTAAGGAGATTTATAGGAAGTTATTGTTGCACATGTGAACGAGAGAGAGAGAGAGAGAGAGAGAGGGAACGAGAGAGCAAGCAAGAAGTCCCCTTATCTTTTCTGATATTTTCCGATATTTAGATAATAGTATGATAAATGTTATATAACACATGATGTGAAAGTAAATGCATGTATATAGAGAATAGCAGGACAATAAGAAAGTACGAATGCGCGAACAGAAACGTGTCTGTGCACATAAGTTTTCTTCACATATCGATGCGCTTCTTTAGCCCGTGACAGCTGTCGCTCGGGATTTTGATGTTAGGCGAACAAAATTCGCGACCAAACGATCGCGTTTTAGAATCCATTGTGAAACGCAAATGAAGCTCGTTAGAGCACAGACTGCAAAGGAATTATGTGTCGTTTTCTTGGACGAATCTCTACCTTTCTGTAATAATTTTAAAGAAACATTGTTAAAAAATATTTATTTTTTAAATTTAATATATAAATTCTACTACATTTATTTATTTATTCTTTTCTTTATAAGATATTCGGAGATATGCTTCTTGAGTTATCGTCCCACATCGTTCAATGAAAATATCGGAGATTTATCTGAGAAAACTGAACGCTTAATCTTTCTATAGACTAATAGTTTAAAAGAAGGAAGAAAAAGAAACAAACTGATGCTCTTGATTTCTCATAATGATCACAATCTTCGTCGGTTCGAGAAGCATAAACACACAGACATTCAAGTCGAAGAAGCATCGCGTTTAACGTAAAACCGAGCGTGTAACCATTTCTTAGTAAGTAGATAGCAATCACTGATCTGCCTTGGCTGCGTACGAAGTGGCTATTGAGTAATTATCGCGACTGCTAAATCGGCAAGTTGCCTTTGAACTATCCGTGCGAACGCATTGCTATAGCGCAGATAGAAGATATTTCGTAGCCTAGGTAACTGGGTGAAGTGATACATGAAACATGAAATTTTCCGATTTAGACCAAGTGACACTTTTTCCGAGAGATTCTCGAAAGCGCAAGATTATAAATAGCGATCACTCGGTACAAAGCGTTTATATGACTGTGCGATAGCAAAATCTAGATTATAGTTACAATTAGACGGGAGATATATACTTTTGCGATACGGCTGATGCAGATCGATGCAGACTCCGGTTTCTCGCGATATTGAACGTACAACAATTGTGTTACAAGACGCAAAACGAGCACTATACCATACTAGTGATGTAACGAACTATTAAGTCTTACCGCGCGGCACAGGAGAGAGATTTATAAATATATAAATATTATATATATATGATATTAGATATCTCTATATAAATATATATATTAATATATCAGAGTTTTTGGGATAACAAAGCGTGTGCGTCGCGTCTTCTATGCCATTAGCTCTTCTTTTTTTTTTGTAAAGTTGTAGTTTCATGTCACGCAAAATACTGTACTACGAAAGCGAAGAAAAAAAGGACAATTTAGAATGAATATTCATTCGGTTTCATTATCTGCCGCAATAATTACGGACGTACAACGTGTCGCTTCGCATTTGCATTTCGCGTTGGTTTGTGTTCCGTCGACAAATAAATTTCAAAGCTCACGTTACACTGTAACGTTGATCGATGTTTCTTTATGAGAACGTGTATTGCTTCCTGGGAAGCTGCAACAATTCAAAGAGTGTATTTCGGTGCAATTTTATGGGCAAAATTGATTAAGACACGGATAAGTGCGTGTGTCGTTGAAACGTAGGAACTAGAATTTGTACGTTCGTGCCGCGAAAGGAGTGTGTGGATTCAAGAACTGAGAACGCTAAATTAATTGACGAAAAATAAATGTTACCCATATTATTTATCGATATCGCGTCGATTATTTATTAACTGCGTTTAACGCTATTAATGATGCGGTAGATAAGTTTGTGCAAATAATATGTACGTTGAAAGATTTCGAGGTATTTAGAGAGAGGGAGAGATAGAAAGAAAATGGGGGGATAAATATTACTTACGAAATAAAGTGACACTTAAGAGGGACACTATGAGGTATCTTTGATTTCCATATCATAGATACTTTACACATGCATACATACATACATACATTAAATATAAGATACATATATGATGTATGTATATATAAGATATATATATGTATGTATGGCGTGTATATATGTTTGTGAATATATAGATATATAGATAGGAAAATAGAAGAGAAGAAAATGATAATGACACGTGCCTACAGTATAGTTACCACATTCGCAAGCGTGTGTATAACAGAAAAATTGTACTCGTATGACCATGCACCAAAAGTATACGCGAAGTATCTCGATTTATCTGACGTGTGTGCCGACAATTCTGTTTTATAACATAAGCAAAGATGTTGAAAACCGAATTATCGGATAGGCAGATACGTGTGAGTTAGCGAAGCGTTATTCAAAGAACTATTTTAAGAATACTTTTTATTGGTGCATGCGTTCTCTCCTATGTTTCGTACTATAGATAAATATAGTGCCGAAAAGAGTGTTTTAACTGCAAGCGATCTCGCCGGGAAGGGAAGAGGAGGAGGAAGAGAAGAGAACGAGGCGCGGCCTCGTTATATAACGTTGAATGCAAATAAATGATTATTAGAAGTCACGACACAAAAGCGAAACTCGAATTCTACTTTGTGCGCCCGTAGATTAATTATTTGTTACAGCGTAGAGAGAGGTGAAGAAACCAAGTATTTTTTAAGGGAACGCGTTGAAAATTTTATGGCGCGAGTGAACGAGAGGGGAGAGAAGAGATGTTAGCGAGAGAAAATATTGCGATTTATCTCAGGTTAAGAGAATCATGTAAATTCGATGAGAAGCTCGAACAAAAGTGTGATCACGTTTATATCTGTATATTTTAATGAGATAAACTAAAATAAATTGTGATATACATATATACGCACGTGTATGTATGTATGTCTTCTATTGAATATATCATAAGTTTTATATTATAGATATTGTGCGCAAACATACAAATTCTCAAAATTTAGACGTACGTTGTTAACGTAATTTGATATAGATGATTTTTTCCTTTCTTTTATGCAGTATAAATACTGGTAACGTAAAATAACATCTTAACAATAGTGTGGTAAAAAGATCAAGAAATTTGTATAAGATCTAAGGATAATTTGTTTTCAGTAGTCTCACAAGATAAACTTTTGTCATAATTTTACGCGCCTCTCAAGATATTTAACCAGCATATGGTAAGTCGACAAAATTTTCCATCGAATGTACCGAATGCGTTCTGATCGTAGACGTGTAGAAGAAGCTCTCTCTTTCTCTCTATGGTATGCAGACACAGATGGCTCTTTCACCACACTTCTATATAGGGTTTAAAGTGCAAGTTTACAGATTGGTATTGGATGTAGAAGAAGTTGATTATTGAGGAATGCCGGCTGAAACTGACTTAGGTGCTTTCCAGTTGCGTACACGTGTTACACATCACCAGTTTATTGGTTGCATATTATCTTACAAGATATTTTAGATAATATGTGACCAATAAACTGGCTTTATATATGTGTGTGTCAAGATGTGTTAAGCAATTGGAGAGCATCCAGAATATTGTATATTGCCTTGGTTTATATCGTGTACTTGATACGCGTACTAAATAGTAACTTTCTATTAGATAATTTTAATATCGACGATATATATAAACAACGGTATATTAAGCTGGTATAGTATTCATCAAGAAAACGTATTGATTGAATGCGTCGCCGTTGATATGCATTATCGATATTAAAATTATCTAATAGAAAATTACTATTTAGCACGCGTATCAAGTACACGATGTAAATCAGGGCATTGATTGGCTGTCGCACCAACTTTCGCCGCGCGGCAAGCGTTGCCGCGTTCTGTGTGCAGGAGCCATTAGTGCGCACTCAGTGCGCAATAGTGCAAGCAACTATTGCTCTGTTCTTTTCAGCTGCACTGGTGAACTGGTGCAATAAGTTAAACTGAGACAAGTATATGTTTTCTCGCTCAAACTTATTGCACCAGTTCAGCAGTGCAGCTGAAAAGAACAAACCACATCCTTCCTAAAGCCAACGGCACACGGTGTTTGTTTTCGTGCTGGATTGCTTGCTGGATGGAAATACTCTGTTTTGATTGGTGTATTTCCATCCATCTTCAGAAATGCACCAATCAGCAAGCAATCCAGCATAAAACAAGCATCGTGTGCCGCTGGCTTATAGCGAATTCGGTTACTTATACTAGTGCGTACTGAGTGCGCATTAGGGCTTGTTCATAGTATGTTATTATATTTAAAGATTGTCTTAAATAAATTATCAAATATTTTTAACGATAATATGATATGTACAACATCCGTACGAATCATTTTATTAGTTAAAATTAGTTTTTAAATATGTATTTAAAACACAATCTTAAATATAAGAATGTACTGTAAATAAGTCTTAACGCACACTCAATGCGCACTAGTGCAAGCTGCCGAATTCACTATTAAATGTCTTCCTTCATGCGTGGTGAAAGGGCCACTGAGTACGGGCCTGGAATCATAGAGAGAGAAAGAGAGAGAGAGTGCAAGCAACCGAATTCGCAAGTAGATAGACGTATAAAGTAAATCAGTAAACGTTATCCCTGTGTTTTTACGTTATCCCTGTGTTAAATAACCAAACATTCAAATCTATAATAGATATAGAGAATTAAAGAAAAGAAAAAGAAACGTTTTAAATTTCTAAATCAGTATAACACATAATGCATAAAGTTGTATAAGCCTTGGTTGTTTACATGTCACAGTGAGTTAATTTTATTAGAATGGAATAACAGTAACTTCAGATAATAGTCATTAATATTTTATAGTCATTAATATTTTATAATATCGATATTTTCTCTGATTTGGTTTCTCTACTCTTAGGTGACTGTTCTTAGATATAATAATGGATTCAGTATATGGATGTTATAACCGTCACGCGTCCGCACAGATTTGCCTGAATGATTATTTTTCGGAATATAGTAAATTATTAAAATCTTCCATATGCTACGGACAAAACCAATCGACGGAAGAAAAAATGTTTCAACTTATGGGTGTTGAACTTTCAAAATCAAGACTAGATTTAATGTCACATTATTGCAGGTATTTCATAATCAGTGGTAAAACTTTATTATGTTAAAATTAAGGAATAATTAATATTGAACTAGATCAAATTTGTAGCATCAGTAATTTAAGGACAATGGTAACTACCACTGATGAAGGAAGCAGGAATAAACATGATAAAAATCTTGAAAATATTTCAGATAGCGCTCAACTAGAAACACTTAAAGTATTGAAGATATATGACAATAATTTGTTACACAAGTACAATATGCAAAATAGAACTCGAATTGTTAGTAAGCACTTTTACAAAAATACAAAGAATAACAATTATATATCTCTTTAAATTGAATCAAATTATCATAACTAAGTTTAACAATATACTATGTCACTTGCTTAATATTTGTGATCAATATAAGTTAAATCTGTTTTTTATTAGTAGTGACAAAATAATAAACTATTCCTTTGTAGATATATGAGAAATTACATGATGATCAAATTGTAACACCAGGCCTAGATTTTCTAGTTTATGTTCAAGTTTATGAGCCATTTAACTCTGCAATGAATCGTATTGGCCGATTTTTTAAACATAATCTTCCAATTCTCCGAATTAAATCTGTCATATCGATACTAGGATGTCAATATCTTACTGATCTTCGTGAAAAGATAATGTGTATATCTGATTTGTCGATTGCAACAGAAGTTAGTAAGAATCCAAATCAACAGTCTAAATTCATGGCAAAGGTATTATTTCAGCTTTGAGTTTAATTTGTTTTTCTATATTCTATATGATCATGTAAAACATCTCATTCTTTTTTATTATTATAGGATGTCTATAAGTCAGGCTTTTTTTTCATTGAAGATACTTTTTACAATGATATGAGAGATCCAAATAACAAGGATTACAGCGATGTTATATTGAAGTGGGCAGAAACTCGGAATAAGTTAGGTCCATTTAAAACTGCAAAGATGGAGAATGTCCGAATAGATACTCTTAATGTAAGATTTGGTTTTCCATGGGTATATATGCATCAGGGTTGTTGTGAACATTTAATTGTATTGTCTGATGCCAGGTAATTTCCAATCACATAATTTTAGAAGATTCAGCAGATCTTCTCTGCACCTATACAGTTTTTCTAATTTCCACCAAAATGACTAACGACTATAATTAATTTTTCAAGATTGGTAACCGACGATGATGATTTATCAATATCCACTTATCCAAAAATTGAGAGGATAAAACCTGCTGCTGGGAAGAATTGTACTATGTGTGGAATACATAATGTACGTTGGGTTGTGATGGAACATGACAGAGTACCCCATGAGACCAGCTACTTTTGTGAAAATTGTTTCAAATCATACAATTATGTCAATGGCAAAAAAATTGGAAATTTCAAAGCATATAGATATCCTTATATAACAGAATTAATGATAGAAAATACCTAAAACCTTATTAACTGGTCTTTTTATAAATAACATGTAATATTGATAAACCTGTTAAAAATATATTTTAATACAGGAAACATAATGAGCTTATCCTGTTGTTAAAAAAAATTATTTTATTGACGCCTTCAATGAATATAACCTTTGTAAATTGTCTCTTGCACTGTGTAAATCTGTTTTAAGCTGTAATGCCTTTTTGTACATTTCCTCTGCTGCATTCAACTTATTCCAACGATGATACAAAACACCTAAATAAATAAATCCAGAATTTTTAGTTCAACTATACGTTTTACCGTGAATTATTTGTAAATATATTCTCCTGTTATTTTATATCTTACCTAAGTTTGCATAAATCATAGGATCTGTAGGATTTTTTGACATTGCCAGCTTAAATTGTATTTCTGCTTCCTCAAATCTTCCCTTTTTTCCCAGGATGTTAGCAATATTGAAATAGATCGAAGCATGATTAGGAATAAATTTTAAAGCTTCGTTCGCCGTTTTTAATGCTTTTTCTGTCATGTCTGAAATTGTATGCTGTCTTTGTAGAATATATATAATTGATAGACGCGCAAGGATTTACTAAATAATTTTAATACATTTTCATACATACTTAAATCATCTAATAACAGTATCATATTCGTCCACACTTGTTTATGCGTGGGCTTTTGTTTAGCTGCTTTTACCCAAGCTTTCAGTGCTTTGTCATATTGTTTTCGTTCCAGATACTATTGGTAGAATAAATTTTAAAAGATAATATAATACTCTAAGATATTTTAAGTTGATTATGTATGTTTATACTCACTAATACACCTAAATTATAATAACAAGCCGGGTAAATTGGCTGATATTGCAGAGCTGTAAAATAACTCGCTTCTGATTCCTCATACTGCTTTAATGCTGACTGAACTATACCCAAATTCATCCATACTGTAGCAAAATCTTTCCTAGAGAATGCACACATTAATACTATTAGTCATATATTTCAAGTAATGTATAATTAATGTAATATATAATTAAACTTACTGCAAAGTGATAGCTTCTTTAAACAAATTCACAGCTTCTGGGAGTAGTCCAATATCTTTGAGTAGATTGCCAAGATTATTCATAGCTTGGACATACTTTGGATTTAATCTATAGTAATGAGAAAGAGAGAGAGCAAATGTATAACTGCTAAATTATCAAAATAATATTTTATATGTACCGTAAAGCTTCTTGATATTCCAACTTGGCAAGCACAATGTTTCCTGCATCTGCCGCATTCTTCGCGATATTATAATGTACTTTTGCATTCAAAGGACATACGTTTAATGCTGATTGGAACAGCAATTTCTCATTTCTCCATTGATTGCTTCTTACCCAAGAACGCGCAAACAACAACATAATAAGCATTGCATATGCCAATAATGATGCCTTAGGCAAAGAAAATTGGGCAGAGAATTTTTGTAAGCCAATAACAAACAACAGGCAATAACCTGCCGAAGGAATATATAATATTCTTTCTGCCAAAACAAATCCTACTTTGAAGAAGATATTACTAGCAGGTAGAAATGGAATAATGAGTATAGTTAGTCCCATTGTTATGTACCTGTAAAGATTGTTATACTTTATATGTATTCTTAATACATATTAATATTATACATGTGATACACTCTTATAAAGACTTCAAATTACCTTGAAGTTTTATCTTTACGAGGGATAAATGTGTATGCAACTATTGCGCCAAACATTAACCAGAAAATCACAATCGTAAAAATTCTGTGATCATATCCAGTAATCAGAGGTACGCAACCCATTGACCAATCAAAGCAGAGCCATACAGGGCATATGAGTAACCATGTATTAAGACAATAAATATAGTTATAATTAAGTATACGAAGAAATATATTGTCCATGAAAGATGCTGGATTGTCTACAGGTAGGAATTTAGGAGTAGAAAACCCCATGATACCAAGTCTTAATGACAAAAGCATTATTGCAACTAAAAGCAGTGCAGCAAGTCGTAAAATTGTGGCTCTGTATTTAACTAAATTACTAAAACGTTTGTCGGAATTTTTACATAAAAAGAAGTTAATTACATCAATTGGATATATTTTGTTTGCAATAACTATATCATACATTGCACAAATGCCCTGAAAGATAGAGATAATATTCTATAGTTATTTAAAAAATTATATACAATAGTATTACAATATAATCTTAATACTCACAATGGCAGTGATTCCAGTTTCCTTGCATAACATTGCAATAGTTACACAAGCAGCACAACCAAACATAGCGACACATGTGTGTAACAAATTCTTTGCATGTATTACCTGGTTGTATGACAAAACTGACAACCAAGTGAATAAGGTACATAATAACTCTGCACGTCCTACTATTCCACATACCTGAAACAATATGACAAATCTGATACAAATTTTATTTTCAAATACAAATATTCAAACTACGATACATTTGAAATACTCACTGCCTCTGCATGAATTGGATGAACTGCAAACAAGGCTGTAGCATAGAATGAAATGTTTTGATCTTCTGGCCCCAAAAATACATTATATACAAGGAAAGTTAACAGACAAATTACACTATGCAACACTATGTTTACTATATGATAGTCTTGCGAAATTAAATCTTGTCGTAACCAGAAGTGTAATCTAAAAGAATAAAGAGAAACAAATATTTTCATCAATTTTCACACAAGTCACAAGCATAAAAGAATATATTTTGAATTGATGTAATATTTAGATATAATAATATAACATAATATTAATATATTTATATTTTAATATAATATTAATATAATTAAATTAACATTTTAAATATTATATAAATAATCTGATATAATAGAACCAATAAAATAATATTAAATACATTTTTTAATTTTTATAGTCCTTTAAATATTTTGATGATATACTTTATAAGATTCTCATACCTAAAACTCAAAATAGTAAGAGGTCTATATGACTTGTGGCTTTGATTATGAGACAATTTAGTGCCCCAGAAGTCGTTTTTAAATATTTTCCACAATGGTGTGTCGCGTACATCGTTGTTCTTGACAATAGCCTCGGCATCGTCAAAAACAAAGTCTCCGTCATAACTGTTAACAAAACAAAGTGACAAAATCACGATTATCCAACTCGAAAGCGATGGCGATACGGCTGAAAAGTTATAAAATATTTCGTCAAAAGGATGTTCGGTCTCTTGTATATAAACATTGTCTATACGAGTGTAACAACAAGTGTTCACCTGGCAGGTGCGTTGTTGATTTGTTGTTCATGATATTCCTGATAAGTGAAAGTTATCGCATAATTATTCCGGTGCTACCAGATAATGCGAACCTTCGGAAATAATCGAGTAAAAACATGTTATCCTAGAAATAACAGGTAGACAGGACATCATAACCTCTTGCCAATAACGTTTGTCCATAAACCAGAGATGCTAGGCGAGCCGGCTTCTTCTGCACTAGTGTATGAAATATAATGCACTTTGTAGAAGAAAACATCGCCTTTATGTCGATATATCGAAATTTCGATAAACGTAGTACAGCCAATCAAATTCGTTTGTTCCTATTCTCGGACTTTGACCACTTCATCTAAAAATCACCTCACATTCCTATCAGTTATGCTTTACTCCGCGATCAAGTATTATTGCGAAGTAATTTCAATTTATCAATTTTACATTTCATTTTGTAATTTTAACTCAGGAGCAATATCAACTTTAAATATACAAGAATTCCTATTCTATTTAACGAGATATATTTATGTAGGCTAACATAAACCGTTCAATTACAATCTATCTTTTTTAAATTCAAGATTTTAATTGCTTCTCGCGCGATAAAAGAAAGTGCCTGTCACAGAGACGAGATTTTAGTTCTTCCATATTATCTTACAATCACTATCAAAAATATGAGTGACAACGTCAAAGGAACGAAAAGTGAGATTGAAAATACAGAATTAAATGAATTGCTTGACAGTAAGTACATTTATGCTGTCTCATTTTGCCTATAAAGGTCAAACTAACCTCACAAAGATTGTCTAAATAGCTAATAACACAATAAGTTTCTAATTGCTATGCAATAAAAATATATTAACGAAACTGTCTTATAATGTGAGTTGCTTTCAATATTCGTAACATTAATAGGATATACAGTATTCAATTACATTAATTTTTCTAATCTATCAAAAATTATGGATTTCGAATCTGTCTTTGTAACATATTATAATTACATAATCTAAACATTAAATCTTGTTATTTATAGGTGCTTTAGCGGATTTCGAGAAACTCTCTGTGCCAAGTACTGAACAGGACAATGCTGCAACCACATCAGATTCACAGAAGCAAACAGATAAATGTGAGATATCTGAAAAAACTGAAAAGGACTGGACAGAAGACTTTTTTAGACAAACAATAGATCAAATGGACAAAAATTTGCAGAACTTTGCAGAAACTCTGAAAAATGGTGAGATAATGAAATATGAAAAGGACACAGATGTATTACTGCAAGAATCTATTATTAGGTGATGATGAATTGAATGAACTTAAGTCTGTTCTTCAAAAACTTGAGCAAACGTCAACTGGTAATGCAGCAGATGGAGAAGACAATATTAGTGTAGAATTTGAGTCTGCTATCTCGCAAGTTATAAAGTCTCTGTCTGTACCAAGTGATAATTTGCAGGTAATTGTTATATTTAACCTAGAGTGCATCAGCAGGAATATTATTCTCGTTAACAAGATCAAAGTATAATCAAAACATAAAATATATTTTAGGGTGATGCAGATTCCTTAGTAGCTATGCTTGGGCAAACATCTCTAGATGGTGATGGCGGTGACATATTAAATTTTGTGCAAGGAATGATGCAACAACTTTTATCAAAAGAAATACTTTATCCAACATTAAAAGAAGTATCAGATAAGTATCCGGCTTGGTTGGAAGAACACAAAGCGACTCTGAGCTCCTCAGATCTACAAAAATATACAAGGCAATTTGAATTGCTGCAGAAGGTATGTCAATGATATGATTATACATGGAGAAATTATTTAATTGACATATTTATATCGTAAATAAAAGGTGTGCTCTGAGCTGGAAAAGGAAAAAGAAGACGATTCCAAAGATGTTAAACAACGTCGTTTCGAAGTCATAATGTCACTTATGCAAGAAATGGAGAAATTTGGTCGCTTACCACCCGAATTAGCATCGACGGTCGTTCCAGATTCTAAGGGAAGTTTTTTAGACGAGATTAGTTCAGTGTTGTGCGGGAATGTATAATTTTAAGCAAATATAGTTGTGTGTTATCTGAGAACATCATTGTTTCAACAGTTTTTATAATTTTATTTTGGCGAGAATGCCGAGAGTATATTTAATTGTTACTTTGTGATGGATTAGACTTCTCTATTTGGGCTTTTACAAAACGTATGCAAATATCACTAATCGATATTGGATTGTCCTTTTCCAAACTCAATTTGTTTTCAGTGAGTTTGGTTGCATGTAACTTAAGTTAATTTTGACATTAAATTTCAAGTAAAAGAAAAAAAGATTAATCATGTAAGAAATATAATTGGTGCAATGAAAATTTACTATGCTATATCCATCAATCTTCTAAACGAATTACTCGTTTCGATGTAGGTAATGGTTATAGGTGATAAATATGGCTATTCAGACATAATTGGTTGGAAATACTTTATAATATAATCACATGTACGCGTCTTGGAATATAATAAAATAACATACTTACAATTTTCGATGTGCACTATTTTCACTTCAATATAACCGATCGTTCCTTTCGTTGATGCCGTCTCCGAACAATCGCGTGTATCTGCAGTACACCGCAAAAAATATCGAAGTCTATTTCTTAGGAAGAAATTAATTGGCATTATTTTCTGTATATGTTTATCTCTTACGACTGTTAGCATATAATACCACATTTAATGGGACATTAGCATCTTCACCTTCTTCTCTCTACAAATTGAATATTATATGCAAGTTTATTTATATACTAACTTTACGCTTCACAATTTCTTGATACATGATAAAATAAATTTAATAATATACGGTATATTTTATAAATAAATCGACATTCCAGCTCTCTATTCGATTTATTTGCCGCTTGGTAGACGATGAAAATCCGCGACAGCTTCGTCAAGTATATTGGACGATAAGCGTCAGAAACGAGATCTTTCTACGAGCTCATCATAATCATGTGTCGTGTATGAATGTCCCTAAAAAAATGATTTATCTGTACATGAGCCGTACGAGTCATTCGCGTGATTCTCGTTACTCCCGACGAGTCTCATGATCCAAGATCGCTGACGGAACTATAATCGCGAAACGTCGAGTATCACTAAAATTTAACTATCTTCGTTATGAGTTTAATGTTTTTTGTTTCAATCTTTATGATTGCTACATAGCTACATAGGGTAGCTATCAAACTAATCAAGTGCGATGTATAATCACTCCATATGATCCTTACCGAAACACGCCATCGAGATTTCACCGTAAACTTTTAATTTAAGGGGCGCGCAATATACAAACAGTGAAAGAAATGACGCTAAGCGGATTAAGCATAAACATACGTAAAGAACATCAATCCTGTCAAGGTGTACCGTACGAAGTGTTTCTCGGCGATTGCGCCTGAAGGGTTTGCTGCTGATTTACCGTTGGCTGCGTCGTGGAGGCTATTGTCGTCGGAGTGATGACGCGAGCGTACACAGCACCTCCGGCAGTTTTCAATCCGGATGGAGTGGGTATCACCTTGAGTCCATGCAGTGTTTTGATATTGAGCAACTGGCTTGGCAAGATGATCGGTTGTTGCGTTTGCTGCTGCTGTTGCGGCTGTTGCTGCTGCTGTTGATGTTGCTGCTGCTGCTGCTGTTGCTGGGAAGATGTTGGCTGCTTGCCCAACACCACGTTTCCGCCGCTAGCGCTTACCGCGACTCCGACATTTTTATTGCCGCTTGCCAATACGATTGGCTTGCCCGCAAGTTGAGCGGTGACCATGCGGACAGTTTGCGCTTGTTGCGACTGAGATTGTTGGTGTTGCGTGCTGACTATTATTTTCGACTGACCAGAGGACGCTTGCTGTTGCGGCACCACCTGCGAATACAGTATTGTAAGAAACTTTGTTGTACTAATTCTGTTTTAACAAATAAACTGAAATGTCTTTGGTATACGAAATGCGATTACCTGATATTGAGTTTGTATCACTTGCTTGCCCTGTCTATTAAGTTGATTAGCATGACCGGTTGTGGTAGCCAATTTTAATCCTTTTTGAGCGAGCAGACTCTCGACCGATATAATTTGTCCTCCACTGCTGTTCGTTAAGACTTTCGCCAGGATTTTTTGCTGCTGCTGCTGATGGGGCGACTGCTGTATCTGCACAGCAATGGGCTTTCCCCCGATTTGCGCGATGATGCGCTGCATCCCGGAAGTCTGTAGAGGCTGTTGTTGATTAGCCACAACTCGCTGCTGCAGTTGCTGTTGTTGTTGCAACTGCTGTTGTTGTTGCTGCTGTTCAAACGTGATAGAAATTAAACAGAAGCAGACGACACGTGGTAACAGGATATATTAATAATTATACTTTTAATTGTTGCTGCTGCTGTTGTTGCTGCTGTTGTTGTTGTTGTTGTTGCAATTGTTGCGTCTGATTACCAGACGGAGACGACTGTTTAATGAATATGGTTTGACCTTGCAAACCGTGACCCGTAAGTAACGATTTAATCTGACTGGAACTAACTAATTTGATCTGTGACGCCAATAGAGTTTTGCCTGGTAATACGTGCTGTTGTTGCGCCTGTTGTTGCTTCATGTTGGTAGTCTGCAAAATACTCTTTCCCGCTTGATTCGCAACGATAGTTTGTTGCTGTTGCTGCTGCTGTTGTTGTTGTTGTTGCTGTTGCTGCTGCTGTTGCACCTTCGTAGACGGTAGAATCGTCGTCAAATTTGCCGTCCCATTTGCTACGTTGGAACCGCTATTATTGCCACTGTTAGATGGAACAGGTTGCGCGGACTGTAGCACCGAATGCCCAGACAGACGGATAGTCTGCAAGCCGGCTGAGGTGGACACTTGAATTTGATGATGCGGGAAATTATGCTGATTCGACTGCAACAGACTCTGCGCGGCGTTCGTCTTAACCACGGTGACCGGTTTGCCACCTATGTTCGACGCCTTTTTCACTGTCGTTATCGGAGCGAGTTGTGACTTCGTTTCGATCGACATGACGTTATCTCGCTCCAGGGCTACGCTAGTGACCGAGCCCGAGGAGCTTGAAAGTGACACAACAGGAACGGACGAGTCGACGATAGAAATAGCCGGCGTAGATACCGCGCTAACCGCTACCTCCACATTGGTATTAACAGGCTGCTCTGTGGCGACGGGATGCTCATTGACAATTTTCTCTTCGGCTTTACTTTGCTCTTTCCTGAAACAGAAACAATATATTATTTTCGGGATACATTCTTGAATATGTTCTTCTCAGATAAATGTCAGACACTCGCTTGGACGCGGCAGTTTGCGCAGGCGTTGTCGTCCGTCTTTCTTTCTTAGCGGTGGTTTCTTTAGTATTCGTAGACTGTTCCTTGTTCATGTTAGTCGACTTAAGAATTGGCTGCAGCGATTTATTGCGCGATGCACTGCCAAGATTCTTTTTATTCTTCGCGACGCCTTGTAACTTCTGATGATACATTTCTGTGAAGGAAAGAAGGAAAAATCGTTATGTAAACGGAACGAATTAACCTTTCGTCGGAATTTTTTCATTAAAAATGTTTTTTTTCCTCAAAAATTTTTCTATATAAGTAACATGCACATGACGTAAAATTTTAAGATTTATGTAAAGCCACAAAAGTGGCTTTCTTAGTAATCTAAAGGTTAAGATATTGCAGATACAAGTTGCGATAAAGCAAAATTTATGAATTAATTAATCACGATAAGAGTCAAGAACACAAACCGAATTCACTTTCCGAGCGTGCTCGATGAAGATACAGCCACTCCTTACGACGTGGATAATATCTTACACAGGGATCCGTTTCGTAATGTAATCTATCAAGAGCCCCTGAAACCACAGAATGAAGATAGCCCTCCTTGTCGTCGTTGTCTCCCTGTTCCCTAATATACTGGGAATCCTTCAGTAACTGACAGATATCGGCGCGAGTTCCTTCGCCGTTAGGCAGACGGGCGGTAGCGTCCCTGACCAACGCTAAGATCGTTACGAAGTTTGGTCGGTCCGCCACCAACAGCGAGTGACCTCGCGGCTTGGTCGGTCCGGTACCTGATTTCGACCACACGAGTAATGAAAAGAAGACACTTGTGAAATATCAAGAATGCTATTGCTTACCGTTATAATATATTATTCGCGAAACGTACCGACATTGTGTTGATAGATTCCCTTCACCGGGCCAACTACAGACGCGTAGCCGTGCATACGATAGGTGAACGCCTTGTGAGGTGCGGCGTAACGCATACGCTCTTGCCTACGGAATTCCTCGCGCTCCTCCACCGTGGATGGACGAACCTTCCATTCCGTGTAGCACGATGCTCGAGGTGGCTCTGATTCCGCAACATTACCAACGGTACCAGTGTCCACAGTGGTGGTAGTAGTGGTGGTAGTTTCTGACGCAGGACTTCCGCTTCTGCCGCTCGAGCTGCTGATCGCGATCGCGTTGTTGGTCGTCGCGCTGTTGTTCACAGGGACGAGCTGAGCCTGCGGTTTCGCGGTTGCCACAGAGCTCGTGGTCGAAGTATTAGGAGGACCCAGCGAGTCTCTGCAAGTGTAATGATTCTCTGAGATAAATGTGTCTATATAACACATAACAATTATACGTTCTTTACTTTGATTAGCTCTCTAAACAAAGCCGTTTTTTTCGTTCCTCACGTAAATCAATGTGTAGGAAGGTATGACACGTACTTATACATGAGGAACTTTGTACACAGGTCTGATAATCGAGTGTCGGAGTCGCGACCGGCGCCGATCCACGCGTACACACCGCGACCTTTGTTCTCTAAGTAGGGCACCAAATCCTGCTCGCGCTCTTGTCGTTGATCCAGCTCTTGGGAATATGTCAATTCACCGGCGAGAAATCCCAGAGCTAGCGGTACTAACGCGGGCCACGAAGGTGCCAGAGAATACCTACGTAATGGCATACAATTCCTGTTAATAACAATTGATAAATATCTTCCGTTTAGCTTGATGGGATTTGATATACCAATCGTTCAGCGGAGAGATAGGATTGCCTTGCCACTGCGTGATCGCTTCTTTCATTTCCACCGTGCTCATTCGGTATTCCCCCTTAGAGGTAAAGGCGTCTCGCAGCAGAGAGAAGAAGCATGCGTGCGTTTCTTGCATTAGTTCCGCGCCGTTATTTATATCTATAGCATTCTCATTGGATGGTATAGTTAGTTCCTTTTCTGGTATTGAAATTACAGCTTCGTCCTCACACCTGACGGCGATACGTTGGTATAAATATCTTCATCATTCAATCGATCATAATCGGTAAGATAATCTGTAGATAAAAATGAAGAAAAACGAAAACTTACTTTACGTCGTCAAGTATATCAATCCCGTCGTCGAGTTGGATCGGTATATGCATCATATCGATATTATCCAAGTCGAGTTCCTTCTTAGTTTCGTTCTCCTCCTCCTCTTCAGTCTCGGCCAATATATCTTCGTTTATGCCTGAGCTCAATTCCGTCTTCACCTCGTCGTACTCTATGTCTTCGATTTCTTTTTTTATCTCTGGTGTATTCATGACTATCGGCTTGCTACATTTCGGAGTGATTGGACTCCTGCGAACAAAGAGGTATGTGAGGGAAAATCTCATACGATAACTACATCTGACATGCACCGACATAATTGTAGTTACATTTTCTTCTTAGCTAAGTGATGCGTTTCGTATACGTCAATCGGTTCAGACTTTATAGGAGTCGTTATTCTACTGTAATCCATGTCTGGAATATTAGGCTGCCTATTGTCGTCCGTCGTGTGAGAATAATCGCTGTTATCACTCTCGTGTTTCACCGAACACAAATTCGCCGATTTCGGCGCGAGCAGCTGGTTCTGTTCGGCTTTGATTCGCTTTTTGGCCGGCGTGACTCTCATAGAAGTACCCATGGAAAATCTCTTCTGGCCAACTTGCGAGCGTTGCGTGAGGTCGGCAAGCGCAATTCCTTGAGTATTCAATTCCGGGTGAACCTGCGATTCAGCTCGTCAGTTTCATTCGAATGAATACATACGTGAGAAAAAGCACTTAATACGATATTATTTTACATACGATATATGTGCATGCAAAACGAGATAACGAAACTATACATACATCACGACGAGCCCGTCGTTTCTTATGCGCGATCAACATAGCGCGATAAGTCTCTTCCGTTTGTTCACGTAAAAGCAACGATTTGCTTGGCGCGTACTCCATTCGCTGCAAGGTGGAGAACACAGGCCGGATCGTTTCGTCCTCAAGTTGCAGACCTCTCACCGACAGTCCTTGGAAATTCATGATGGAACGCCGTTTCCGCTTTTGCTTAGCCCCGGACGACGGATAATGCGGATAATTCTCCTCGTTCTCGGACGTCGTGTCGGCGGCCAGCCTCGTGTTGGCCCCGAGTTCCACTCGGACTGCGTTCAACTCCTCCATATAGCGCAACTGGGTCTTCTCTTCAACTGTCAGTCATTTGCGTGTTAGAAATTTTATTGTTCTCCGGAAGATACTATATACTTCTCTGCCAAACGGCTGAAGTGCGGGGCGAAGATAAACAGCCGGAAAAGATTTTACCGTGTCTTCTACACACGTAGGACATACTTACCCATTACTGGCTTTGGCTTGCGCCAGTGAAGCTTGGACACCGTTCGATTCGCCGGCTGACTGAAGCCCTGTTTATACGCGTTCGACAGCAAACTTTCTCGCGACTTCAGCAGCTGACTCGCCAATTCGTATGATCGTTTCCGTGCCTCGAACAGTAGTCTCCTCTTTTGCGCCTTGCGCACTAAGATACGCATTCTCCTAATATCGGGACGATAGTGGCCGGCGGAGAGATGATTATGAAATATATCCAGCGCCGATGTGCCAAATCTACAATAGATATTGCAGAAAATACTCCGTTATTGCGGTATAGGAAGTATAATAATCGCAAATCAATCAAGGAACCGTTATTCGAGCGCTAAGTATGCCTTTCTGATTCCCAAGCTAACACAGCTTGTTGTACAGCTCCATACGCTCGTACAAGAAAAAAAAATCGAACTTGGAATAAGAAGGATGTACTTAGCGTTCGAACATGTGTCATGAATAGAATTTTTCCAACGTTTTAGATACGGTGAACGCTAAAGTCACATTAATGGATCGAAAGATAAAAATGCGCGTGCGCATCGTTCACCGTAATACTAACCAGATAACATGCGACGTTATTTTTAAAAGAATAAGGCTCACGATTAGCGTCGACGTTGAGAGAGTTTTTGTAATATCGTGTCTCAGATACGATAACGCTAAAGTACGTTCCGATATTCAGTGTCAGTATTTCAAATATGTATAGGATACATAACACAAACTGAATATACGCAGTACTGGCAGTGAATATCGGAACTTACTTTAGCGTTCATTTATTCACTGTATCTAAAACCGAAAGAAGAAAAAATACACATTAAAAATTATTACAAAATATGTTAGAATAAAATGATATGCTTGCAAAATAATACATACAATCGATCGATCAGATCTGTAAAATAATCCGAACACTTTCCTATTACTTTAACAATTAACATATCGTACATGACAAAACACGAGAAAGTAGACTGAAAAGGAAGATTGCATGTCGCGTAAATTTCAAGGCTATTTGTTGACTGTTTGAACAAAAGTATTTGGACTGTTTGATAAGTCTGCCTAATCGATTGTATTTTATAAACACATCCTTTTATATCGACATATTCTGCAAGAATTTTTCGCTTCTGATGTTATCGATCGATATTTCTATGGCGAGGAATAAAGGGCCTCAATTTGAGCAGAAATACCTGAATTTCTCCGCGAGGAATACTTGAAAATTGAATACCTGTCGTTTTCTCTATTGAACAACATGAGCAGCGACTTATTCATTTCTGCCTCTATATTGCAATCTTTTGGAAAAGTCGGTAAAAGATTATACAATGTGTCTCTCTGATTCTCGGTAAGGCATTCGTTCCATAAGCGTGGGTAATCTAACATTTCCTTAAAGATACTGAAATGTTCGCAAAGATCTTGTGGTAACTTTACTTTAGTATTGGCAGCGATGCAAGTTTCCCACCTCTAAAAATTCATAAATACATTCTTGTTGCACAATAATAACAACACTTTGCTTACTTTTGTAAATCCTATTGTACAATACAAAGAGAACGAATCTTACCAAAGCATCAGGTCTCTCTGAATTTACCATATATTCAGTATTTTCGTTCTCATCCTCGTCCTCTTCTCCGGAACTATGACTCTCACTACTGCTCGTAGCATGTTCCTCAGCACTATCTTCATCACTATCTGTTGTTGTACTACTGCCACTTATGCTACTACTGCTACTATTGCTTCTAGAGCCATGACTCGAGGCATCATCCTCATCTTCCTCAGCTGCGCTGTCCCCACCAACCGAACACTCATCCATCTGCAAACAAGATGTTCAGTTAATAACTTGTGCCAGTGAATGATTAAACATTGTTACAAAATAACAGAAATTTTTCAGTACTTTATCTAAAAAATCAAATTTCGTCGCCCAATTAAAAAAATCTTAATTTATTATATTTCTATAATATCAACTGTAATATTAACTGTACCAACAAGTTAATATAACACACACAAATGATTATGAATTATATTAATTGAACAAATATATGTGGAGATTTTTGGATTCAGAATATGTTACAATACACACTGCACCCACATGTACACATACACACATACACACATCACACACATTCATTCACTGTACACATCACACACATCTTATTCATATTGAGGAACACATTCAGCAGACATTGATTTTATAGGAATTGTTAGAAATTAACCTCCATTTCGCCAAATTATTAGTCTCGTTCGTTTTCTCTGCGCGACGACTTATGCTGTGTCCATCAAAACAATAGATCCATATACCTGACAATATACATGTAACACCACTATGAAAAATGCGAGAGAACCTCTCTGGTACTTCCTTGCTCGTGCAAGCACTGTGCACTACACAGCATATAGATAATAGTTACATCAAGCAAACTAACGTCGCTATTTGTCCTCGGAAAACCATATTTTCCCAGCATATTTCAGTCATGGCGTTAAATGCGGTGAGAGTGACAGTGTTTGTATGTAGCCATGATGTATACATATATAAATAATATCGGAAAATTGTGGTTTCTCTCTCTGTGATATTGGATCGGTTCTCTTTAGCTGCGCTCTGCGCACTTCCTTTCTATTTTTCTCTTGCCTTTTCTTTTCTACCAAATCTCACGTATATACATCTATTTCATTTTAAGTACAGAAAGTGTAATTCGTAGTGCAACTGAACAAAATAAGTGAACATTGGCCGCGTTCAACGGAACAAGGCGATCAATAAGCAGTCAGTAATTATTGGCTTTACTATTAGATCCCTAAATTTAGACTAATTATGTGAATTATTCAACCATTATGTTCGTTGAACGCATTCATTGCGATTGCAATAATGCTTAAAGATTTTTCTGCTGACGCAACGTGTCTAGCTATTCGTGTATTATGACTGTTCATTAGTATACTGGTGTTCATTAATTGAGCCCTTTGAGTGTAGACAAATGTAGACGAACGCGCTTGGAGATGGTACGCTCATTTACACTATTCTACACCGAAAAAAGACTCAATTAATGAACATCAGAGTACATACGATAAAACGGGAAATCACACTCTTGCATAAAAACATAATGTACAACGCATAAAAAATTTACCGATCCTTCATCTTTATCGTGCAATAGAAATGAGAACTCTGATTAATTTTCTTATGCGTTGTGCATTATGCCTTTATGCAAGAGTATGTGCTCCCTGTATTATGTGTCTGTTTTTTCAGCTGCACTGAGTTGCATTCCGTTTCACACATTATGCGCGCATTCCCTACAATATACGTGACGTGAACTGTAGATAAATGCGCGTATAACGTGAAACAGAACGCGGCCCTGCTGTACAATAAGTAAAAGTGAGACAAGTATATCTTTTCTCACTCTAACTTATTGCAGTTTGGCAGTGCAGCTGAAAAGAACAGACCAACGGTTTTGTCCACACAAGATATAAAGTTTGTTCATGTTGCTTGCACTTTTGATACTTTTGCGCCTAATGACGGAATCAGACTACACATTGGAGATTGAGGATTGCGGATTGAAGATTGCTATTTGACCAATTAGAGCAAGGTAAACCAAAATCGAAGTTCGTTGATTCGTCGAAATCTAATCTTCAATCTGTAATCCTTAATCTCCAGTGCGTAATCTGATTCCGGTTTTATGTTCATTGCACCAAACTCAATGAAAACTCAATGAACACCAAACTCAATGAACGAAATTCAATGAAAACTCTTTTCAGGTTTGCCGTTGTTGGTGATTTTTCATCATTTGGGGATTTTTAAAGTCTTTTGGTGATTTGGTGAATAACTTTCTTTATTTGGTGATAAAAATGGCTGTGTTCCGAAATTCACTACCAGTGCAGAAATTTTATAGCATACGTAATATGAACTATAGACTTTCAGTACTGGCAGAGAATTTCGGGACGCAACCATCATATGGCGAATTCGATTGAATGCATCAGTGCGCACTGAGTACACACTAAGGCTTATTCACAGTCCTTTCTTATTCTTAAGGTCGTCTTAAATACATCTTCAAAAACTTCTTAGCTAATAAAATAATTCGTACGGATGCTGTATAGATAATTTTGCTAGCTGAGATGTATTTGAAGATGTACTTAAGATGATTTTTAAGTATAAGAACGAATTATAAACAAGTTTAGTGTACACTCACTATGCACTAGTACATTCAATTGAATTTGCCATTAGTAACAATTTATAATACGCTAAAACTAATAACAAAATAAGTTTTCCTCTCTCTCTCTCTCTCTCTCTCTATTTACGTATATTTTTATATTTTTATGAATGTTTAAATATATTATATTAATTTTGTTTATATTTATATTTAAATATGTTTATTAAAATATTAAAAATCATTAAAATTATTTTTTTTATTCGAATTTATATACATTTAAAAAAATCTGGTGAAAAAAGTTATATTCTGGTGATTTTTGAAGCAGAAATCTGGTGAATAAATTTTTGGAGTCGCAGCAACACTGACTCTTCTTTCTAAAGAAAGGTCCAGTGTGCAACGGTGTTACATGTAAAAGTGTTAAAAGTGCAAGCAACATGAACTAATCTATTCCCGTGGATGCGGGTGTGATTCACGGGCTTTTATGATTAATTTGATTGTGGAATAAATAAAAGAAAGAAAGCTGAACAATGTTGGCACGAATTCAATCGGTTTTGATAGCTGTCGCTATGTAATCTTTTGCAATGAGAACGCGCATATCAATTCTTTATTTTGCGCAATCGTCGCATCCCGTCTACAATGATGCACTTTCAGTGCCCGCGACGAATCTTCTGACGTATTCTGACGTACCCCTAGCGGATACAGCGAAATCTATACGTCAAAGGATACGAGCGGTCGTATTTTGAAGGGGGTTTCCATTTTAACCTCTCGGACGGACCTGGATTTGGCCGTGTGGAATTCAACATGTTGGCCCTTATTAATCGGATCTTGGACTGGTTCAAGTCTCTGTTCTGGAAGGAAGAGATGGAACTGACTCTCGTCGGCTTGCAGTACAGCGGAAAGACTACCTTCGTGAATGTCATAGCGGTACGTGACTCATAGATCTGTCAGATTTAATTCGCACGAGTCATATGGGCGAATATGAAATGTCGAGGATATACCATCTGTCGTTGATATCATCGAAACGCGAACGCAAAAATCGAGAAAAAGTCTGACGTCTCATCCACGTTTCGGTTAAATACGACAACTCTTTCGAAATAATTTTATTCGCCGTGAATATAAACCGCCTCCGTATACGCCCTTGTGTCAAGCGATTTAACGCGCGATTACCGACGCGTTATCATGTTCCGTTTGTGATAATTGTTAAGTCTTTGTCGCACATTTCCGCCTTTCTTTGCATACTCTTTGTTTCTTCTTCTTTTTTTTTTTTAAACCCTCTCCTTTCTCTTCCACCTCCTTTCTGTAATTTCATTTTTTCTGCTGCAATAATTTGATATGTAAACAGTTGTCATATGTTGTGACGAAAGTCGCGTAAATTTTTGCAAACAATTTTTACATATGCATTGAAATTTATCTATTATTTCCACGGCATTTTGCATTATAAGAAATCAAAATATAAATATGCAGTTTGGCACGTAAGAGTCATGATATATGGAGAATTTTTTATAAGAAACAAATATTGCTCATTAAAATAGTGTAACTTCGTATATTAAAACTGTTATGTTAATTTAGGTATAGTTGGAAGTTTTTGTAGATACACTTGTTAAAAGAACATTCATACTTAAGTATAGAAGTTATAGCCATTGCATTATCTTAGCAAAATAATTATCTTAGCAAAGTAATTAGTAATAACATTTTTTAAGTATGAGTAATTTACATTAGGACAATTTCCCTCTTTTGCACATTTAGTCTGGACAATTTAGCGAAGATATGATACCAACCGTTGGCTTCAATATGCGTAAAATAACAAAAGGCAATGTCACTATAAAAGTATGGGATATCGGTGGCCAACCAAGGTTTAGATCAATGTGGGAAAGATATTGTAGAGGAGTAAATGCCATTGTGTACATGGTAGATGCAGCAGATTCTGAAAAGATTGAAGCCAGTCGCAATGAATTGCACAATTTGTTGGATAAGCCACAATTGTCAGGGATACCAGTGTTGGTTCTTGGCAATAAAAGGGATTTACCTCATGCATTGGATGAAAATGGGCTCATAGAAAGAATGTGAGTTGTTTGTTCAATTGCAAAACAATATCCTACAGTACATGAATATAAATTCGATAATGCGTGTTCCAGGAACTTGTCTGCGATTCAGGACCGTGAGATTTGTTGCTACAGTATTTCGTGTAAAGAAAAGGACAATATTGACATAACGTTACAGTGGCTCATAGCGCATTCTAAAAGTGGAATTCGCTAATATCCTTAAAATATCCCATTTGTTAGTATCGGAGAGTCTTTGATACTGATGACAGTATTGGGATCAATCGTGGAAAGCAGCCCATCGAGCAAAGTTTGTTCAAAACTGAGTCATTACTGTAGAAAACTACTTTAAACTTAAGCTTTAGCTGATCTGAGTTGGAAGGTGCAAATGCCGCAGTAAAATTTAACAAAAAAAAAATGAAAAAAGATACCATGCTTAATGCCAAGTATGCTCGTGTGAATTATACCATAAGGCACGTCACATCCTGCGAGCACCGTTAGTCATAAGGAACAGTTTTTTATATTTTCGTTTATAGGTAAGTCCAAAAGTATATTCCAGTACCCAATAACAGTTATATATAATTAGTATCTCTCTGTATCTTTTTCTATGATTGCTGCTATTGTAAAGCTGAAGTAATACCGACATAATCGCAGTTAATTATTGTGATATTAATAGTCTAGATGTCGATATTCTTGTTTCTTCTCTTGTACTCTCGAAAGATACCAAGCGTTTCATGTGTAAATTAGAGAAAATGGTAGCTAATACGAATTACACGCGCAAAGATATCATTATTGATTACTATATAGTACACCTTCTCGAGAAATTTAATAACAAATAAAAACGACATATTGCAAATAATGGATCGTTAAGTGTATCCAATGATAAATCATACATATACATAGATCTTTTTTTCATAACGTTAACTTACGACCATCCTTTATTCCCTCTGACTTTCAAACAAAAACAATCCACTGAATCCACATTGTTTATACGCGTTTGTATAAATCTGTGCTTCACAGGTTTGGAATTAAGACATTTCAAAGTACGAAAAGCAACTCAAAAGGTACAGATGGAAAATTATCGCGAAAAGTAAAAATTCCATTGCATGTGATCCTCTATAAAAATAATCCACTGCAATAGAATCAATGGATTTCTTTAATTTTGGAGAGATACACCAGAGGAAATTTATGTGAACGCATGCTCGCACATCTTTCACTGTTTTTTCTCTTGTGAATCAATTTCTTTTTTTTTATTCATATCTATCGATATATAAAGTTTCATAGAGTACACCTCGATTTTCTCCAGTCAGTTTTTTTTTTCTTACGGTTTGCGGCTTAAACTGTTTACAACGATCCGAACTGAAACGGTTCGGATCGTTGTTTTCTTGAACAAACGGAATCGACTAGTTGTGTTTCGTTTTTTTTTCTATAAAATTACATACTATAGTGTGTGGTCGAAACGCTTCTCCTCTTTCAATATAATAAATTGTAGGGGGCTTCTGGGAGAGGAGGGGACTTCAGATTGCTAAACTGAAATTTCGTTACGTCGAACTTTGCTCATTTGAAGTACAATATTTCTTTCTAGCGGTGTTCGTTACAGCCAACTTTTGCTATATTTATTAACTACACTCATGACTCACTCTTAAAGTGGCCACAATAATATATTAAATCTTCTGCAAAAAATCAGTTACATATTACAGCAGAAAAGATCATGTTTCCCGAGAGCTCGTCACAACGATTTGCGGATACATGTACATTGTAAAGGTAGAAACAATGTTATCTTGTTTCCCATTTTATAATGCATACGTTATAATACAGAGTCATGGATGGAATGATTCCTTTCCACCTTTCAGGGACAGAAAATATGTATATGCGCTACATATTGCGATACGTACGCGCAATCAAGGTTCAAAGATCAAGTATCGTGGTAGAGTACACGTATTGGATAATTTCATATACGAGACATTGCGGGGAATATAGATAATATATAAAAAAAAGAAAGAGAAATACAAAAAAGGTGTAAAAATATAGTAGAGCGATATTCTTTACGGAATTTAAGGACACAAAAACTTCTCGTCCGTCAAATTCAGTGAAGAAGATCGTTCTATTATAATTTTTCTCGGAGTCCCCGAATACATACAGAATACCACGGCCGGAAAATATTTTAATGACAGATTTCCTTTCACCGGTCTGCATTCGATCTTTCTGCGCTACATGTTGGAGATTAGTTAGTAGTCTTTAAGTTACAAGCGATCGGAGGAGTCCCGTTAAGATTCGTGAACGCAACTAAACGATACGTAATTCTATTACTCAGTTAATCTCCCACTAGTAGATTTTGCTGCGGCAGAACTTTAATTTGCTGTTTAATTATTACGATATTTTAACGTTGAGAAATGCGAGACATTGCGTTAAATGATAGCCGCTCGTGTAATTTTTGCTAAGGAAAAGCCAATTGTTATAGAGCTTCTCTATCTTTCAAATACCTTCCAGTGGCGATGGCACATTCTGTATTCAATACACCCTGCCTTCTCGTATCGATTACAACGGTTTCAAATTAACCCATTAAAGCCCAGCGAGATAACCTTAGTTACTGCGACTTTTGTTCGCTCGTCGCGTGCGGGCTAAATTCAAAAACTTCCGAGTAAAATCATCGAAAATATCCTCGACTCGGAGCTCTATGCTCAGACTTATTGTTCTATCGATCAAGATCCGACGTTGCTCAAATTAATGAGAGGCAATTATGGGCTTTGATGAGTTAATCTGCGAAATTTTTTGAACATTTATCATAGCTTTCTGCTTAATTACTGTATGTTACATTTTAATGTCCATACAATACGACATACGCATCTATATGCATATATGTATATACGCACTTTTCATAAGCTATATCTACATATATATGCATACATGCCATTTATTTACATAAATTCGGAAAGAAGATACTATACGCTTTTTCTCCCTTCCTTTTCCTTCTGAAAAAAGACGGTGGAACTTTTTCAATTTAATTATACATGTATCGAGTAATACTTTACAATTACATATGTCATACTTGCATGAAAAGATACAATTCTCTTTTCTTTTTTCTTACTCGACCTCGTACGTTACAACGCTAACACATCGTTTTAACAATGTCGCAAAATTTACCAATTTTGATCCTTTTTTCTTTCTTAATTTCTATTCGTCCTACGCGTCGTGTATCCGCACTTCGTATACATTTACACGAAGACATTGCCACATAAGCGATAATAAGTCGATGATAAATTTCCTATTAATACAATATCTCTTTTATTGCGCGTTATGTTCCTCTGAACAAAACGGTCGAGAGAGAAATAATGTTAATTTATAAATTATTATTTAAGATTTCTCAGAATTGGCAAGAAGCGATCACGCGGTGTCATTTCTTCCTCTATCGAACTCTAGCATCCTAATTCCTTAACGAAGATCACAAGGAAGATTCATGTGTTGTTATTAAAAAAATACTAAAAAAAAAAAAAAGAATCGTCAACAAACGTCATAAGAAATTTTATGTGTTCGCTTTTCGTCAATCCCGGGACATCCTCTATACTTGATCTTATATTTAATCATTGCACAGAATAATCTTCCTATTTTATACAAGGTGTGACATGATTTTATATTTAAAATTGGATTTAATAATAGCACATTATAGATATTCTACTTGACTAGTTTTATGCATCACTAGACTTCACTCAAGATTCGTTATATAAGAAAACTCGCAAAGCATCCGTGCGATCGATCTTTTTCGTATTATGTGCATAAGAAATGTTTAAATGTCTGTCACGATTATGTTTCATCTGACATCTGTTTTTCTGTCCATACATCACTATAGTATTCTATATTATCTTGAAATGTGTGTATGTGTGTTTGTACATAATAAACACACACGCACACACACACATACACGCACATATGCATATACTATATTTATGCTGCATAATTGAATAAAGGAACCTGTGTTTGGTATATCGTTTGGTACAAACATTACTTGAAAGAGTTCCTATTTAAAACGATTTTCTCTTTTTCACATACATACATTCTTTCGATATTCGCCCACACATATGCACATACGCTCATATACAGGGTTCCTCAGATCGTTTTCGTACTTTCTTTTATCTACAGATTCCTCTGGCAAATTTGAGATGCAAATTCTTTCTAGGGAAAAATATTACAGCTTCTCAATATCCTATTTTATAAGTACATCTAATGCTCAAATTAAACAGTATATTGAAATAAATTAGAAATAAATTATATGAATAAAAAAAAAACAATTTTTTCCACTTGAGAAATAAAGTTCTGTCATTTTATACTTTAACTACTCAAACTGATGCTTGACATTGATCCTTAGATTTCTCTGTTTACTTACAACTAAAAAACTACTCAACACTTTCTATTTAAATTACTTCAAGGATCTATAGATGAAAGATCGCACGTGGAACCTGAAATCCTATATGTATACATACATACATACATGCATATATGTTATATATGCGAACAAAATTGAATTTTGTTAACGGGCTATTAAGAGGACTAGTACATTTGGCCCGAATTTGATAATTATACTAGAGCTGTCATATTTCTCCTGCGACGCTAAATAATATCTATTGTCCATATGCCTCTTTATGTTATCCACAAAACTCGTTAAATTACTTTTACGTGATTTATGCTCGTCACCAAGATAACAATTCTGAATTACTAATAATTTAAAGCACGCTTATAAATCGGGTGAGTACGATTTTAATGAAATCATATCTGCTAAGCACTCTCATTCTCTGGAGATATAAAATATCCATATTATTTTAATAAATAAAATACGTTTCAGTGTACAACAGTAGTTATTGCTACAACAATTGCATTTAATAACAGTATTGCTGCTCACTAAACGAAATTGTAACTCTTAAAAAATTTGTTTAGCAAATGTGACATAAATAAAGTATTGTACGTGCATTGACACTAAAGAAATTTTATCATGTAAAAAAAACGTATCGACTTCTGATAACATATACATAATAATATATTCAAATTATACAAACTCAACAAATGTAAAAAATCATAATATCGAGATATACAAATAATCAAATATATTATACATAGAAATCTATACTGGATGCGTGGACATGTTCATACTGCAACAGGAGCCTGGTAAATAGGAAAACAATGAATTAGAGTAAAGGGGGCATAATCACAAGACTTCACAATCGATTATTTTAAATGAGATAGGACGACCGAATTGTTGTACTGTTCGTACACTGAAAGTAACTCGTACATACGCGTACTCTCGCTTAATTTACTGAAATTTGTTGAGCGGTTCATGTCCCGGACATGAAAGGTATTCTTCCCCGAAGAATTCACTCAAAAGAATTTCAGTAGTTAATTAAAGCGGCATTACTTGAATACGCACTCACAGACAGCTACATCCTCGCACGTCAAACGTACAGCTACACTCCGCCCACGTAGATACACAGATATGCACTCTCGCTGAAATTTCCGCGTATCCCAATGACATATTGATTAGAAAGATTGCGTGTTTTCGCTGCCCCAAATGATATCACATTCTCAGTTGGTTGAGCAGTAAAGCCGTCTCCCGTTTTTTAACACAAACTGAGACTATTTGTCATTTTGAACACCAAATCTCACGATTCTCTGCTAACGACCGTCGCATCCGGTATGGGCCAGTAACGGCGGCATCTATAATTGCAAAAAATTCAAAGATCACGTTCGATAAGACGGTTTAAAGCGTTTCCTACGGATTGTCGAATTTAAGCGATTCAAGATACAAGAAGCGATACAAGAAGAATTAGATACATACTGCTACATGGTCGTACCTAGCGTTATTCTCTGCTATGTGTGGTGGCAATGATGTAGGCGGCGGTGGCGGTTGACGAGCGGATCTTGGTGGTCCACTACTGTTAGAATCACTCTCACTGCTTTCCTCAGACTTTTTACCTGGCTCCCGTAGAAGATGCGAGGGTACCCCTCGGGGAGAAAGTCTCGGCAATACCTCGGATTGCGGTCTCGTTCTGTGTTGCGGTCTTTGGAATTGCAGATTGAGTTGACTAGCGTCTGTCACATACTTTTCACTTTGTCTTCGGCGGCGTAAAGCGGGCGTACATCCGGTTAAATTTTCATCTTCTGCTGAGCTGGCTGAAGTTAAAGGTGACATGATTGGTCTAGCGTCAGATAATGGCATGCGACGGTAATGTGCTGGTGCTTCCACATGTACTGTCAATGGTTTACCTCTGACAGCTAAAATTTGTGAGCGTTAGTATGGCGAGGAAATAATATAACATATTAATTTCACACATATAAGGACATTCTTATTTTCAGAAAGCGGACTGTAAATCTTGAAACTAATCCCACTTGTTTTAATTATATTATAATGCTTGATTCTCTTTGCATTTGGTTTTTTTTTAATTTGTGCACATTTTATTGTTACATAATAGTGCGCTTTGGCTCGTTACAAACCTATTTTGTACAATGATGAATGTTAATACTTCTTGTTTTAAAGAATTGTTACAACATGAGAATTTGAAGAAAACTCGTTCACACTTCATTAATGTAAAATAAAATTTTGGAAGCATTGCAGAAATATTTAAAAATATTTCTGCTGTAATGATCTCGTGTTTAAGTAAAATTACGTCTTACAGACATATTAATAAATTTCTTTGACTAGTGAGTAATACTAAATGATTCACAAAAAAAATATTTCCTCTAAATATATAACATGTAAATAAAGCTTTCAAAATTATCGAACAAAAAATATCTACATAATAATACTTTTATAAGTTAAAGCATAGCTTTTTAAGTATACGTTTTTACTGAAAATCGCACGTTATATGTAAGACTACAAGAACAATATATATACATATATATATGTATGCGTATATATAAATTTCTATCACAATCCGTGTGTCACAGAGGCAATTAAATATAGCTATTTCATAGATTATATATCGACATTATTTTTAAGATAATTTACTATATTATATTAGTTTTACTAACTATTATCTTTTTCCTTAGTTGCAGCCGCGGGCACTGGCAATTTTTCTACTTCACTCCCAATTCCCGCCTTGGTATTCGGAGTGTTAGTTTCGGGCGTCGACTCGGATAACGAGCATCTTGGACTTTTCACGGGAATCGGTATTTTACTATGAGCGATGTATGTCCTACAAGATGTTTCCTTCTCCTTATTGTCCTTATTATCACGGTGTGGTACTACGTTTTGTACAGTGGTCGAGGCAGTAGTAATACTAGTCTCCTTTTGCAAACCAACGTTCGCAGTTGGTCGATTCTCGGTAGCGTCGTAATATATCGATGGCTCTTCCGGTCCCGGATTGGGACTAGCTGGACTACCTGCCGTACCGTTCGCTAATTTCTCTAGAAATTCGAATAGCGTGAGTTTATAAACGCGAGACAGTCGCAACTATGTGTAATTAATTCGTTGATCGAGACGTGTCTTTAGAATTGATCAGATAAGAGCAAACAACTTGGATCACACGTACTTTGTAATGGCTCCCTATCGGCACTGGTTTGTACAATCGTAGCACCACCAGTCGCATCTACCACTCTGATCTCTAGTCTTCCTGCTACTGCCTCTTCCTCCTCCTCACCTCTAGGTATGTTAAACATCGCGTCAGGAAAGAAGAAAGCCACCGCTGGTAAGCTGGATCTTCTCACCGGCGGAGTTTGCCTCGGCTCATCGTAGCGGGTCGCAACATTTCTCATTACGTCAATTTCGTACAGTAAATCGTCAAATGCCGCTTGTTGAACCTGTCGTCGTCGAAATTTCGATATGTTCATATTCATCAGAAGCGATCAATAGCGAACTGTATTTCGAACACGATACAAACCAACGGAGCTTCCAGATAAGCTCGCACATGCGGCGCCAGAGCTGGAACACTCCAAGCGCGTGGAAGTGCTCCTTGTAACTCCGGGTACTTTTCAATACCCGCGATGTTCAAACATCTATGCGGCACCGCTGGCTTCGGAGAATCCTCGCTTATTCGGGACAGTGCGGTGGTAACTGCAGGCTGCTGTTGACACGTATTCGAAGAACTCGGCTGAGTCGCAGTGGGTTTTGTATCCGCGTTCGTAGCCACCTGAGTCGTACCCTCGTTGGTGGCTGGGGGCTGCATATATAAATTTTGTTTGAATTTTACGTTGCTCGAGTGCACAATTGTGCGCTCGCGCATCTAATCTTCATATCATTAATAAGCAAAAGAATTCACCTGCGGCAGTATGGACGGGACGTTGACCCCTTTGTGCTCGGGGCTCTGCAGATTCTCGCCCTTCCACTCATTGTCAGTCTCTTCGGAATCGTCAAACTGCGACTTCCATTGCGAGGCCAGGGTCAATCCACCGCCGCCTTTCGTCACTTGCTGCAGTGCGGATACGTTGTCATCGTCTATTTGCGCAAATTGCGTAATCGAACAGTCGCGTACCGCTGAACGTCCGCCTCTTACTTGTTGCCGGCTGTCCGCTCTCCTTCTCGGCTCTCTCCTGAGAGGTTCCCTTTGCTCAGTTACCTGCAGAGAAGAGACACGTCGAGGCGTGAGATTTGACGAACTATCGGGGCCTGCACAAGTCTGCCCCATACCGATTATATCGAATGAAAACCGTGGCTACTAACTGGACTCTGATTGCCAAATTTGGTATTAGTTACGTCGTAAGAGCAATAAGAAGCGTCGACTTCCGTCTGTATGCGAGGGCTTGGCAATTCACCAGACGTTCCCTCGGGCGTAGCTGCAACACGCAAACGAGCAAATGTAGCCCCACTTGCTGATTTCCTAAGTGGTGCCGCTGCATTTGCCACCATTTTAAGGCGAGGAACTTCGGATGCCGAACGGGCGGAAGCCATCAACGCGTCCCCTTCGTTATCTACCTGCTTTTCTACTGGCGCAGGAGCCTGAGATTCTACCGCCATTGACACGGCGCGTCGTTTTTTGGGAGATGCTGCAAACACGCAATCGAACACTATATGGTAACAGGAACAAGAAAAAAGAGAAAAAAAGAAGTAATTTTATGATACGATGAATTGCACGAACCTTGGGTCGGCGGAGGTGGTACAGTCTGCTGTGCAACCTGCTGATGCGTGTTATCGGTTGTTGGTATCGTAGCGTTACAATTTTTATCCCTACCATGATTGCTAATAGCTGCTGTGAATGGCACTGGAGACCCTTCTATTGGACGTTGTCTATTTCTTCTATATATACTTTCATAATCCAGCTGCGCCTGTCGAGTAACAAACAGGTCGTAATAAATACATCTAATGTAAAAATCGGGCATTGAAGCTTTGATATCTAAGAGTCCCTCCTTACATCTAATTCCTTTCTGTTATCTGGTTCTACATTCTCTTGATTGTTGGTATCCACATTTGGCATAGTTGCTGAAGGCTGATTGATAGTAGTAGCTGTGGTAAGGGCCGGTGGTACAGTTACAGTAGGTAATGATCTAGTAGTTGATAAACCTTCATTAGCTATTAATGGCCTCTCCCAATCGTAGGGATCGTTTGCCTTTACACCTCTACGTTTCATACATCGTTCAAACAGACCAGCTAACATACCGTAATCTGGCTTATCTGCATACTCCAAACTCTGTAAAGATTTTTATACACATTTCATTATCACAAAGCTCCAAAAGCTTGTCCCATATAATTTTTTTCCAACGGAATATATACCTGGATATGCTCTAAAAAGACACGTAGATCAGATGGGAGGTGCTTTAGAAGTAATCGATGATCGTATTTCTCCTTCATGAGACCCACCTACGCAGAAAGACATTATCTCAATGATTACCTTGCGACGTTTCATAACTACATTGGCGCTTCGCGCGAACTTACTTGTTCCTTATCTTTTATTTTTCGCCATGGCAGTTGTCCATTAACGAACTCTACTAGCATATAAAATAACGACCACAAGTCATCGTGTCGGCCCATCTCTTTATTTTTGTGTGCATTCACTGATGCATATCGGACGGTTCCTCTAAATCCTGCGGCAGCACGAGGCGGTCGAACTTCTCCCGTACCAGTTGTGAATTGTCGTGCTAGACCGAAATCTAACATGTATACTAATCTGGCGTTGTACGGGTGTCGACCGATCGAAAAATTTGACTGTGAACAAAACACAAGCGTCCCCTTAGACCTTTGCAGTGAGTCATGCTTTAACAAAGACCATGTAGAAACAACATTGCTATCGCATGACTAATCGTATCACTGCACGAGTACGACTCAAAGAAAGTGCAGATCATCTGATACATTTTGCATGAGAAAGCAAATCTCGCAGCAGTTTCATACATAACGCATATATTATTGTTCCATCACTTGTGAAGTTATACGATCAAGTAATCTCCTTATCTAAGCATCCTAATATATTTCAAATTGTGTATTAATGGCATGTAGCAACGCTACATAGGAACAGGTGTCGATATAATAGTTCCTTTTTCTTACGTAACTTTTGCCTCGACTATTAAATGACACCATGTATTTTCATGCACACATATAGATACTTACAGGTTTAATGTCCCTATGCAGAAAGCCCACTTGATGAATACTTTCTATAGCTTTTAATATTTGAAGACCAAGGCGCAGCGTAGTGGAGAGTGAGAAAGCACCCCTTGGTTGCGCTCTACGCAATTCAGCTAGATTCTTTCCTTGTAATTGCATTACAACATAGTTAAATCGATCATTACGCCCACAGCCAATAAAGCGGCAAACATGGTCTTTACCTGAAACAGTCATGCAGAAATATATGTCTCTGCAATAAAGTGATCACCCAAGAGATCGATAAGCAAATATCTACTCTGATCTGAGCAAACATACACACACATACAGATAGAGAGAAGAAGAGAGGGAGAAATTCAAACAGAGAGACTTTGTACTAACCCTGTAATTTTTTTAATACAGCTACTTCCATTTTTAGGACCTGCTTGGGCTGTCGTGCAGATTCCACTTTTAGCGCAACCTGCTCCTTCGTCATTAGATCGAGACCTTCGTAGATTTCACCAAATCCACCGCCGCCTATTTTCCTCACCTGTGCATGCACGACATGATTGAGTGCCGTCGTTCACACAACACGACACGATACAACACGACATCACATTACTCCCACGAGATCGAAGCTTAGGACAAACTTACAACTTTCCAACGTTCCTTGACCACATGGCCGGGCTGTAATAGATCCTCGCTCGTCATAGTTATGTTATTATTTTGATCCGTACTTTCGTCGCCTACATTCCTCAACACCAAATCCTCGGAGTGATTTGCAGGCCTGGAAAATGCAAGTGACACCTCATAAATATGCGCGCACGCAATGCAGACCGCCCGCACATTCGGCGCGCGAGACGTTCTACGGCGCCGACAGCCGCGAGTTGTCAATGCGAAACACGTCTCCCCGAATGCGACGCACACACGCACGAGGTTTTTAACCTAAAGCGGCACACTCGACAAAATTGGTCAATACGCGCCCTGTGCTAGGCAGCCATGATTGCGTGCGAGCGAGAGGTGTTGCTGGTGCGGCGAACGTCTCTCGCTGCTCGTCCCGAGCGATCCTCCATATCAGCAATCTTTCGGTCGCTCGCTCGCTCGCGATCGCACTCGTGGTCGGGTCCGAGAAGAGATCGGTTACGCTGGCGATGATCGGCCCGACTCGCTCAGCAGCCAACGGACGTCACGCGATCATCATCAGTCGGAACTGTCGCGCTGTGCACGGCACACTCGATTCTCTTCGCGACACCGTTCACGACCCGACGACGGCGCCGTCGTCGGCAGCGGCAACGACGACGACGATGACGAGGGGCAACCATCGCGCACGGCTGACGATCGACGATGAAAAGCGCGACGAAGGCGACCTACACACTCCCGACGCGCGACGACTTGCAATATCCACGCGTCGCGACGACGACGACGACGATAACGACGATAACGACGATAACGACGACGACGACGACGACGACGACGACGACGACGACGATAACGATGACGACGATAACGACGACGACGATAACGACGACAACGACGAGACGTGTCGCACAGAACGTGAGCGTTGTGAAACGCGCGTCTCTCGTCCTGTCTCGTCCTGTCCCATCCCCGTGTGCGTCCACGCCCGGTCCCCCCCGGTCCAAATATGTAATGATACTTTATTTTTACTAACAATGTCGTCTGCTAGCTGGTGCTAACGTCGGCGTTACACACCGCGCGACGTACTCTCGGCGGACTCTCCCCTCGCACAACGCGCACACTTCTCGCTCGCTCTCTCTCTCTTTCTTTCTTTCTCTCGCTCTGTTCTCTCTTCACATTTCCCTCGCCATCATTCTCCTCTGCCACCGCCGTGTCGCTCGCGCGGGCCTCCCGGAGATCGCCGTACCCCGGATCACTCTTTCGTCGCGACCAGGCCCAGGTGTCCGCGACTGCCGTAAAAGTTCCCGTCAAATGCCAATAGGACGGCCATTTTTCGATTTCGCACCGTCCGCGAGTCGTGGTGCGCGAAATCGCCGTTAGATAGCGTGGCGGCCGCGCGGCGCGATCGATGCATCTCGCCGTCTCTCTCTGCCGTTACGCTCCGCCGCTCTTTCTCCCTCCCTCTCGCGCGCCCGCGTCCGCGCCCGCGCCAACGTCCTCTTTTACGTTTATTATTGGTTATTATCTCGTAGATCTTGCGTTCTTTTATCGTATCGCGCGGGCGTACGCGCGTCAAAGTTCCGCATAACGGGCAGACAGGAGACAGGTAAGGTGCACACGACACCCTTGTGGTGCCGCTGGAAAAAGAGAGAGAGACAGAGTGATGATCGTTTCGAAGATCGGTCTACCGTGCTGCAACGGGCGGGTCTTCTTTTGTCCGTTCGCATTACGCATACGTTCGCTCTCCTCTCTCCTCGCCGGTGCTACACGCGGACGATGCTATTTACTTTTGTGTAGGCTTACGTATCGCCTTTTCAATCAATTATTGATCGCGTTGACATTAATTGCTTGGCGCGCCACACGAGCGTGTCTATAGACGCTCGTCTATGGGCGGTGCATTAGGGAAGCTTGAGAACGTTCATTAATTTACGTTTGGACGGATCGACCGCGGGCATCTCGCCACATAGATCTTCGTAATGTGACGTTATAAGCTGAAAAATGATAAGTTTTCGTGACGAGATAAGAATCAGCAGAAACTACTTATACCAGTAATACTTGGCACCGCGTCAGATCTCTGGAGTTTATCTCGTTTATAAAGAATTCTTCGCTCTCAATCGCCAGTGAATCAAGCGCACGCTTCGACGTTTTCTGACACAAACGTTAATTTGTTCCGTCGGGGGAGGCGCGGTTAATTGAGAGTAGGATATAATCAGAGGGAAAAGTCGAGATTATTTCACGTAACACAACATAATTCACACTCGCGCCAATCTTTCGGTTGCTGCTCTTAATCGCGATTCTACCAGCGAAATGACAAAAAGTGGATACATATATTTCCCGGTTCGATGCCTCGCCGCGATCCTTGTCGCGATATCCTTCGACTATATTAAGTCGCAAGGCGCTTATAAAATTTTGACCGCTCGCTCGCGACTCCCTTTGCTAGAGGGCATAATTTAAGTTTAAACGTCTATTTTTAAACGCGATCCCACTCTCCCTCTCTCTTTCTCTTGCGGCATATAATACAGCGAGCAGCGTCTTCCCCCGCGCCAAGCGAATTTTTCCAACTTCTTTTCATTCTTCTTACGTGGTTACTCGATTCGAACCGAGATCCAACGTGTGTCGCCGGGCGTCCACGCGTAAATAATAATAGCCCGGAACGTGGAACATTTCCACCATCGCGCGGTGAAACTAAACAGGGAGAAACGTTAAAAGGTGTTGGTTATTATCGTCCACTCTCTCTCTCTCTCTCTCTCTCTCTCTCTCTCTCTCTCTCTCTCTCTCTCTTTGGTGTGTACGGATTATGTATCGTACAGACACACAGTCGGAAATATTTCCTCGCGCACCATGCGAGTAGACGATCGCTTTATTTATCGAATGGCAATATGTTAGCGCGGTTGAAAAAAAAACTGCACGACACACGCTCGGTGAGATGCAACGTATTTAGAGTGGCTTTAATAATAGGATATACAGCCACGAGCATATATGATACAAATTGTACATAGAGAGACCCCGGCACTAAAATAGACAGTTTGTAATTATATCTTCATATATAACAAGCGTTGAAAGTTCATTGCGATTTAGCAAACGATGGTTAATTCGTCCGAGCAGCTCAACAGCAGAAATTGAACAACGATCGTGATTGCCCTGACGATTTGGTTGACAGGACTCCCGATCTCAAATAATAAGAAAAATTTTCCCAGAATCTAAAAATAAACGCAGAAAAATAGCGAGAGAAGAATGCAATTTTTTTGTCAACACTTGATATTTAGGAGGAAAAATTCTCACCGGACTCTCTCGTACCTTTCATCGTGCGGGACAAACAAGCGAGTTATGAGTTACGCACACAGAGCAAAGCCTGTTAAAAATACACGTTGTCTTTTCTATTTATACGGAAAGTATCGAGTCCGCACAGATTTCAGTTCCGAGAAATTCTGTCGTCAAACGATCTTTTCTTCCTTTTCTAATGAAGGTTTGATCCACCTTTTCGAGACATATATTTCGGAAACGATACGCTCACACGAGTACACAGGCGAAGTGTGTGTGTGTGTGTGTGTATGTGTGTGCGCGATGCGCTTCTCCCCAAAAACGATTATAGACAAAATCCATACGATCTCTCGCGGTGGCCGACCCGAATCAGCCGTCTGCCGACGGCACGTATCGACAAAGTGTCACACTGATTTCAGGCGAGAATTGTCAAGAGGCTACAAATTAAGCGACAAGTCAATCGAGTCCAATCGATCAAGTCCAATCGTAAACCAAATCGGAAAGCGGAGCTTCCCGACGACGCTCGATAACGGAGAAGATGAGTTAGGTAGCCGATTGAAGCGAGCGGACACAGCGTGTGTATGCTATATACGTACCATTTCATGATTTTGAAGAATACGGAATGCGGACTAGATTAAAACGAGAGAGCGACGGCGGCGTGCTTCGTCGACCAATGCGGAGCGCGATGTGTGTTCCGCGTCGGTCCCGGGGACATATAAACGAAAGTATAAAACCGACCACGAGCCGGGGTCAAGCCGGGCTTTTTCGCGCGATCTCGATGCGCTGTGCCACGCGCGCTCTCGACGCTGCCCCGTCTCTTTTGACTCGCGCGTTAATGAGCCGGTGCAGAAGTCACCTCGGCTTCCGACGACGACCGAGCCGGAGTCGAATCATAGCGCTTCACTGGCGCGCCGAACCGACTCGACGCGACCGAGGTGGACGTCGCGCGCTTCGTCGTCCATCGCCCCCTTCGACCCCGACCGCCGTCGTCGCCGACGCCGCTGCGCCTTCTCTCTTCCTCAGCGTCTCTCGGCGTCTCTGACAAGCCCCTCTCAGGATCGGTACTTTCTTCTGCCGCTTTTTTACTTTAAAGCCTGATCTACAACGTGCTCTTTGCTTCCTATTTCGTGGTCTTTTTCAAGGTTCGAGTCAGAAAGAGATGAAGAGAAAGAAACAGGAAGCAAAGAACATATGGTAGATTAAAGCTTACCCTTATAGAAATATCATACTAAAAATCATTGATAATTACTTATTTTCAGTATTAAAAATACTGGATAATAAGTAATTATCAATGATTCTTAGTATGATATTTCTATAAGGGTAATCTTTGTGTTTTTCTAGTTTAAAGCCTGATCTATAATATGCTTTTTACTTCCTGCTTCTTTCTCTTTATCTCTTTCTGGTTCAAACCTTAAGCTTTAAACCAGAAAAGAGAGAAGACAAGAAATAGAACGCAAAGAACATATTGTAGATCAGGCTTAAAGCTTGATCTACAATATCCTTTGCTTCCTGCTTCTTTCTTTTTATCTCTTTCTGACTTAAACTTTAAACTTTAAGCCAGGAAAAGACAGAAGATAAGAAACAGAACGCAAAGAGCACATTGTAGATTAGGTTTAATACTTAAGTCCGATCTACAGTGTGCTTTTTGCTTCCTGTTTGTTTCTCTTTATCTCTTTTTAATTTAAACATCGAGTCTTTAGCTAGAAAAAGATAAAAAATAAGAAATAGGAAGCAAAGAGCACATCAATGTAGATCGAGCTTAAAATTTAATCTACAATGCTCTTTGTTTCTTGCTTCTTGCTACTATCTTTTTTTTTATTAAAGTCTTAAAATTTCAGTCAGGAAGAGATAAACCCATATAGCACAAATCTTTAAAAGACTTCTTAAAGAATTCCAAAAGTGTTCTGGCGGACTTGGGAACTCTTTTGGAACTCTTTAAGAAGTCTTTTAGAGATTTGTGCTATATGGGAGGAGAAAGAAACAGGAAGCAGAGGGCACATTGTAGATCAGATTTAAGCTTAAAGACTGGTCCGCCGAGAAAAGAAAGTTCATACATGGATTTTGTCCATATATGGCCATGTATGATCATATATAATTACTATGTGTCCATATTAAAAAGTATACCGTTATGAGAAGATATAACGATTAAACTAACCGTAACTTTGCAGGATTCCAATTGAAGCTGTTGTCGGGGGAAAAATAAAAAGCAAAGATTTATAGAAAATTTGGATTAATAACGCTACAGCTAAACATAAAAGTACACGTCCTAATATAATAAAAAATTTGCTTAGGACGTCCATTTTTATGCTTATAACTATAACGTTACTCTAATTCACATATATAACTTCTCACTTTCCATTTTTCTCCAACAGCAGCTTCAGTTGGAATCCTGCAATGTTTATTACTAAGACGGTTAATCAGAGTTTAATAAAAGCAGCCGATTGTTCCAAGTTCTTAGTAAGCTAACAGTCAAATCATATGTCTATTTCTGTCTAATTTGAAGCAGGAACAAAAACAGACATATGAGTTAACTGTTAGCTTACTAAAAGATTGGAAAAATTAGCCCTAATGCGTCATATTACGAACGCACGACTCACCGCTCGCCGCCCGATTGTGCTGCAGCCTCTTTGTTTCTCCTTTTTGGGGTGACGCACAATCTAGCACGTATGAATCCAACGAATTTGCGCGCTCGCATTTCGTTACCCTCCGTTTGATATCCACTTCACTCAATCGTCTCTATCGGAAATTACATGGAGTTTCAGCATCTTGTAGCTACTTTGAATACAAAGAAAAAAATAAGAAAAATTCAGAACAAACATTAGCAATTCCGTGCAAAATAGTATTATAGAAAAGTATCACTGGCTGTGATAAATTGGCCAGTAATAAATAGTAATTTTATTACTCGTACGAGTAATAAAATTATTGAACAACAGTAATTATCACTGGCCAAATAATCACTTATCAGTATTAAATTTCTATAAGGGAATTGCACGAAATTTTTCTATAGTCTAGATTCTCGTATCAGATCGTTGAAGCGATTGGCAATGTCAATACTCTCCTATTATCACCGAGTTCCACTTGACGCTGTCGTTTTACCGACCACAGTGAACTCCTAATCTAGTTCGCCTATTTCGCGGCTGTTCGCGAGAGGTCTCCACAGTAACTCCTGCAGACCTTTACGAATCAGGGCGAATTTGCGCTTGATGGCGCTCGCAACGTCGAGCATATCGATATCTCGAAACACTTCGACTCCTGAAATGACTTCGAGAATCGCAAGCGCCGCGTCAGTTGCAGGGAAGAGCTCAACGTGCCAGTGTGATTCGAGACTTTCGTGTTTTCCGCGGTTTAAGCTCGTCAAAAGTAAGCCTCGCGCTCGGATTTTCATCCCCGAGAGTGTCGAAAGTGAGTCTCGTGCGTTTGTAGTCGTTGAGTAGTCGCAGGAAACGAAGGTTTCGTGATATGAACGGTCGGGAGTGTCGAGTCAACCCAAGTAGAACAGGTTGCTTATTGGTTCTTGAAGTTAACTTTTGCAATATCTATAAGATAACAAGTCAATGTT